TTTTAAAATTAAAATTTGCCTGTTATGTCCTCGGATAACCCTTTTGTGTCCTCAAACGACTCAGCCATTTCAAACGGATTGGTTTATACCTCGCCACCTCTTGTATACGTTTGAGATGTTGTGAAAACAGGCTTGATTGAGACATCGCCAAAGACAGAGCCGACAGAGAAAACTTGTGCCCCAGTGTGCCAGTCTGTTGATCTAGGCTCCTTTTCAGGCGTTCCACGGAGATATATGTAGGGTTGCCGGCTGGAGCTTCTATTGCGTGCGATCTACGTTTGATCAGAAAATACCCTCCCCCCCCAAAAAAACGACCGATCCGGGAACGCCTGAAAAGGAGGCTAGCATTTGAGCCTAAAATAAGCTACGTGATGAGTCTCTTTTTTTTTTTAATACCGACCATAAATAAACTATAATTTATAAAGCTAGCCTATGCTACAAAATAAGCAACAATTTTCCGTCAGCGACATCACATGCATGTTTGCCTAAGATATCAGTATGCAATAATGGGTTATGATAGATTCAACGACGTCAAAAGAATGACGAGAAAATTGACATTGAAAATCCTGTTTTTCCGTCCTGAAACCGCATTGGATGAAAAACAACACTTCTCAGCCTGAAGAAACCGACAAGTCGAAAAGCTCTTTCTATCTCCTGACTATGTATGGACGCTCCTTTCTGTTCACGGGGAAATTCGAAAAAGGCATCGGTCCCTTTGATCCAATTGTGAAGTCGTCATGCTGATTATTACTCAACAAATGTTTTCGCTTTTTTTGGCGGGTGCTCTGATGAGCTGGAGGAAAAATTTACATATCCACGGCGGCCGCTGCTAATGTTTGACGTGCGAAATGTTTATCCCCTGTTGTTGTTTTATTTATCTCGTGTTTAATGTACACAAATGAAGTGAAAACAATGCGTGAGCTTGCATTGTTGCTGGAAGATTAGTGACGATTGTTTGTGGCAAACGTAAGAAAGTGCTAAACGACGGAAGCGTCCGTGCGCATTTTCTTACCGATTACCAAGGAGTTCGCTGAAAGGCCGAAAATAAATCAAAGCCTGCCGCTCTCCCAGAGTGTCCTAACATGGGTGGATATCACGCTGTTCTAAAACCGTTGAATATAAAGAACTATTTTGTGGATAGGCGCTTGGTTGTGAAGGCAACAATGCACGATTTCAACCAAGCGTCCACTTCTGTGCATATTTCTTAGCTTACAAAGGTGTCATCTTCTCATTAGCCTGGAAAAATGACCATCGCAGCTTCATCGTTGTTTGATCAAGGACACGATATATGATTTACATTTAGATCTGGTCTGACCAAGGACAGTATACAGCTACAGCCGCTATATACAATGTACTTACGTATATACTGTCAAGCAGAGGTCCGTAAGCGATGTATTGGATACGTCATTCAATACAACGTTACCACGTTTTTTATCCTCTACAAATGTTCAGCAAATAAACTTGATCGATGGCGGGTATCAGTGTACGTGCTAGTACATGTTATTACAATTCCTCCCCCCAAGATAATATTTGCAGCCATGACTCCTGTGAATGTGTTTGAATTTGCTAGATAGAGTTGTCCACCGCGGTGTCTTGTACTTTTTATGTTGCTTAATAAAAAATGTTTTAAAGCATATGAAATTACATTAAGAAGTTATCTCAAAGGATTTTCTAACTTAAGAAGTTATTTTTCTTGTGTGTTTCGTGGTTGTGTGGACATAACGCCACACTACTTGTATGAGACCTGACAGGCAGAGCTGTAATGATGACGTCAGGACGTGTCATCCTCGCGTGGAGGCCGTGCAGGGAAGGACTTCCGGATTCCACGCATTTTTCCAGCTCCGTAGCGCGGAGTGAAGACATCGCAGTCTGACAAACTTCCTTATGACTACAAACACACAGGAATTTGTTATTTTCTTATTGGACTGGGCCACAGACTATTGCATGTACATTTTAGGGCAAATCATTTTGTGCGCGTTTGTTAACACCGAAGACACTTTCAACAAGGAGGTTTAAAATCAACCATTTTGTATTTAACCTTCTTGCTTTCAAGAAGGTTATAGCAAGAAGGTTAAACCTCCATGGTTATAGTCAAGACTTCTTGGTATATGTAACGAAGGATGTAATTGTATTTTCTTGTTGTATCATCATACTGTAGCCTGTAACATGCTCATAACACGCTAGGCCCAGTGTTAAATTTCCTTGGGGACATGTTGGCCCTGGAGCCGAGGAACTGGCCTGTGTTATGCCCTGGAAATAGTCTGGCACCCAGGCTACTTAAACCGTGCTCATGCGTCGTCATTGGCGTATAGCGTTTGCGTCAAAAACAGAGTTCAATCTGTTACTTGCTAACCAATAGTAGCAAGTAACAGATTACTCTTTGTAGTACATGTACATTTTTGTACCAGTTTGAGAGTTCAAACTGTTACTTACTGACCAATAGTAGCATTACTCTTTGTAGTACATTTTTTGTACCAGCTTGATGAACTTTGATGACGTTTTTTAGTTATTTTCCAAACAAATATTGACTCGGACTGACGACAAGCACAACATAAAACAAACACGTCCGATTACCCGTTATTTGCGCTGCGCATCTGGCAAACATGACTGTAATAACATATATCACATATCACTGGACGAATAGATCAACTTCCTTCAACCCTAGGTACAATGACGTCGACGGACCTGAGTCTATCTAAAGGAAAACAAAAGCGCATTCCAAAAGTTTCTGATCTCAAGACGAAAAAACAATGTAGTACATGTATTTCATATTTCTGGTCCTATCAAATCTCCAAGCAGATCATTTGATGGCTGTATGGCCACTTGGGTGGCGAAAAATACCAGTACGAACGTCTGATAAAATGCCTAAATACGCGTCAAAAATAACTTTATTAAGCCGAAGCCTTTGCTTGCACAGCAGAGTTGTGTTAGCCCCTTGTCCTTATTCCTAACCATTGGGAAATTGCCGATTGGCCGTGAATTCGGATGGGAGATTCCATGATGACATAGGGAGGTCGGCCTTGCCTTTTTTTCCATCGCCAGTACCTTGCGTGTACCTCCCTGTATAATCAATTACGGGCGGGCGAGATATCGACTTGCTCTATCGATGACGTCGAGTGTACCGCCGTGGAAAAAATAAGATAAGTGGCGCAAACTGAGCGTCCTGTATTCGAGGGTCATGGAGAATTCGATAATTGCGACATTGGGCAGACAACGTTATAGACGTATATCTATGTCCTAGGGTAGTCTGCGTTTTGTCTCCTCTCTTCCTGTCTTTTAGGATCTTTTAGGACTGGGATATAGGAAGACAAACAAACAGACAAACAGCACAGACACAATACTAGTACGTCGTACTTGATAAGAAATGAGAAGAATATTTTAATGTCTAGGACTAAGTATACAACATTTAAAAAAGCCTGCAGCATATATTGAGGCCAGTTTTTCATTGACCTCGCGAACTTTGCGTTCTGGAAATCATTAACTCTAGGCACGGATACATATATAGCAGTATCCGCCAGGAATACGGTCAGTCATATCAAGCAATTAGTGTATACAGTCCTTATTCTGTACCCAAATATTTGATGACTGCGTATCTACGTATGCAGGTGGCAAATATAGCCCCTATTCCGGTTAACGTAGTTTGCAGCATGACTGTGTGGAAATATGTGTACTGTTATCGTTATCAGTATCGGCGAGGCCCAGTTTCCCCGTATGGGGCAACCCAGAAGATGTGTAACCGGATATGACGTCATGAGGTGACACGCGAGGTGCTTACGTCGCCCGCTGTGTGTCATGGCAGTCTGGTTAAATATGCATGAATCAATACAAAACGTCTCTTGGAGGGACGTTTTCGCATCCCTTCCCTCAGGAAAGCAGACATAATGACTAAATCTTCATGGTTTATACATGATTCGCAGCGGAAGATTAATATTGGCGAGCTGAAGGCCAAAAAATACCACACGACAAAGACGTCACGAACAGAGATTATCTCTTTTTATCTGGTTACCGTACAAAGAGGATCCACACATCACAACAAAAATACAGACTGATAATTTCGATTTCATCTGTCTGAGTAAAATTCTCCCCATGCCAGACAACAACTAATTTCGTTTTTCCCCCCAAGGAGAGAAAATGTCGATTGTTTCGAAATCAAGAGGCGCAGATGACTAGCGGCATTGTGTTGACAGAAATCTCCGGTAGTCTGCTCAGAAATTCGCACCCTCGTGATTGTACAATGCCAACAAGACTACAACATTTCTCCCGCCGGAAGAAGAATAGAAGTAACAACAGACTCATCAAGTCTAGATGAAGGGACACCTTTTGTCATGGATGTGGCGTGAATGGACAGACGCGGCTTGGGTGAGAGAACAGCCCTCAGTATAACAGGTACACCCTCTCCCGGGGTTATTATGAAAATATCAGGTGACGTAGGCGGTGGTCTTCCTGCGCCGCGATTGGTCGAGGCTTGTTGACCTTCCACACAACCCTCCCACTTCCCCCGTCGGCTGTTATAACATTGTGCGTAACGTTAGTAGTCAGCAGCGCGCCCGAGAGCAGGCGGCTATGTCTTCACTTTCCTGAAAGGAGTCAGAAAATACAGAGGGACTACTTGGAACTGCTCGGAACGTCTACTTTGGAAGGAATCCCCTCTCCTGTCGGATCGTGTTGTTGTATTCTGTGTGCGGACTGCAGGTTTTATTTGTGAAATCATGGACATGAATGTGCGGAGACCCAAACGCCCGGCCAGGACGGCGGAAGACTCTTGCAGCTGCGGCAGCACGCACCCGTGTTCCGGGACGCCGGGCTCCCGGCCCGCCGCGCGCCGCATGCGGATCTCCATTCACCCCACCACTGGTGGGCAATTCGAACTAGACGTACCTTGTCATGAGACTGTAGAGGAACTAAAGCGAAGGATATCCAAACAGCTGAAAGTGGCCAAGGACAGAATTATGTTGCTGCATCGGGACAAGTAAGTACCGTCATATATCTGATCTACACAAGGGTGTATACATAGGGGGGCCACTTTGGCGTAGCTCTAGTTTCTGCTGTGTGTAGACAGTTTCCATGCTTAGTTCCTATTTCCTTCCCCCTCAGACAACTGAAGCGGGGTTCCCTGGACGAGAACGCCGTGTCAGAAGGAAGTAGGATCACGCTGCTGCCGGCCGTGGAGTCCGGCCTGATCGTAAGTACCCCGGTCTGTGTACTCACCCTGGCGCCTGCCAGGAAACAACCCGACACCGCCGCACGGCTAACAATGACACTCACCCGGCCTAAATATTCCAGGTGTTCCCCTTAGCTAACCGGAGATGCCAGATACTTGCAATTGAGATGATATTCTGTGTGCAGAAAGCGTAGATAGGTGTGTTTTGGGTGGTGTAGAAATATGATATCAACGTCACAGTGTAAACCTAATGTCTCCGTGCATGCATTGTATATAGGTTGCCACCCATGGCAATATATCTGGGATAATGAATGGGCCTGGTCTGCATGGCACTCCGTGACACACTGGGTTATGTTTGAACCTTTCTTTCTCTCTCTTTTTTGCAGTCTCAAAGACCAGAACAAACGGTTATGCAGGCCCTGGACAGTTTATCAGAAACACAGGTAAGAACCCCACAACTTGCACACACACATATTACATTATTCTCTGGGTTTTTCTCAGGAATGTTTTTGTGGCGTCCCTGTGGCACAGCCCACTGGGCCCCATGCCATAAGCCCCAAAGCACCAGTCCGGGAGAGGCAGGCTTCATATTAGCTTTCACTCCATTGTGGTCCAGTGTGTATTTTCCCGTGGGCCTGGCAGGGTTGGCTTATTTGTCACGCAGGCCCGCAGTTCTGTGTACATAGTATAGCTCACAAGATAGACTCCAGAGGTACAGTGGTAGATTTTAGGTGTGGGTGGGCACAGACCAAGTCCCGTTTAAAGTTTGCACACATTGGCGCCCCTATGTCTTTCTGTGGTCACTGAAAATCTTGGTGGAATTACACAGTAGGCATTTATTATGAGGTGGATCTATGCACGCAGAGCTGCGTAGCTCAGATCGGTCATTCTTGCCAGGGCGAAGTCCAGAATGTAGGACTATAGGTTAGCACTGGGACGCAGTGACAGGGAATGTTCGCGCGTGGACGGGAGGCTAGAGTAGGGGGTCAAGCCTGCTAAAGTATGCAGCTCTAGATTTGGCAATGCACCGTGATATCGTGTCAGGATGTCCCCTGCCCGGCTTCTCTCAGCTGATCCACGCGCTGGCGTCAGCTGCACTTGAGGATCCATGCATTATTCAGACCACCCTGCCCCTCCCCTCCGGTGGGTCGCGCGATGGGACCGTCCAGGCGGGGGTGCGACATCGCAGGAAGCTTGGCTTATCGGATTGCTGCACACGCCGTGGAAAACTCTGCGGCGGACACAGGGCACGCACAACCACGACCTGCTGCTCAACTTGCAGGAGATTCCCTCCGATTCCTAAATATGGGTGCAAACCTCTCTAAAAATAAAACCCACTTCAACCTACAAAACTGAGTTAGCAAGCATGGGGGTTGTTATAGTCTAGAGTCATCTGCATAGCATCATAGTAGAGGAGACAATCTCAGTCTAATGTTACTGCACAGGTACAAAGTGTCAGTCGTCAGGTACCGATCTGTAAAGTACATCTAGTATCTGAGAACTCTGGGAGGGGTGTCCATACTTGATGAGGTGATAGGCTATGGGACTATTCTTGCATGTCCTCTCTTTCGTCCTAGCTGCCCAGGGGAAATACAAACACGTCGCAATGACAAATCGAGCTCTCCTGGGTTATTCAAATGAAAAGATTTTGTCAGATAAAAGGGCGGTGACAATGCATTCTTTTCTTCTACTTCGTGACAGAAATAGGAGCTGAGACTAAAGTTGTCTTGGTTGCTTGCCCTGAAAGAACCTTTGTGTTTGGGAAGTTTGTGTTTAGGTATGCATGCAGCCGGGGAGTGCTGCAAACAACTGGCGACCCTGTTCCCAACATGGCGAGAGTCCCCTATTTGGGGGGCCAGTAGGGTGTAGAGACGGCTTTCTGTATTGTGATATGCATAGTTGCTTGGGGTGTTACGGTGAGGCCGATTTAACTTGAAGGGAGACAGGCCGCAAGCTGGCGGGAGGGGGAGGGGGGCTGCTTTGTATGGCTTTGCCACTCGTGTCCCCTGGTCAGACATTCATCATAGCGACGGGCAAATCAAAAGAGTCTGGTCAGCATGAAGAGAGTCCTCTGCAACCAGCAGAACGGATCTGCTTAGCCTAAATAAATACTCGAGAAATCTCCTCTCTGTGCTGGCGCGTAACCTCCTATTTATTGTTGACAGCCCCAAGCGAAGCCACGCCAGTCGTCCACGCCACGCTATTGGGTGGGTAGGTTTGATAAGGGGGTAGAATAACCGGGGTAGAGCAGGCCGGGACAGGGCAGGAGCGTGGTTCAGAATGCGTGGCGTCGCTGGGAAAAGCGTCCTGATTATGTACATTGTCCTGAGCTGGCGGGGCAATCATGGTACAGCGATGCAATTGGAAGGTTGGAGTAACCCGAGCTGGAAAGGAGTGCACGTCGAATTGATTGTTCTCACCCTGCCGAACAGTAGCAAGGTCGCCCAGCGGCCAGGGATCCCCCTTTCTGTCCCCCCTAAAACTCTCTCTGTGTTCTCTCTTCAGGGACAAGAAAATTAGACTGAAACATTTCAGACGACACTGTCTGTGCACCACAAAGCCTGTAAGGTCATACGCACGGTCCAACACAACAAACACTCAGGGATCCCCTTTCTGACCCCCTCCCCCAACTCTTTCCTGGCCCCCTTCAGGACGAAAAAAATAAGTAGCTAATAAGTAAGCTAAATCATTTTAGTGTTCTTCTAGATAGCAAAGTCTGTACATCACGGATACTGTGAAGTCGTGAGTCTAGGTTCAAGTCAACTTTACAAAAGCCTCGCCCAGTCTGTCATCTGAGCTTACAGCAGATATCAGCGCAGTTCCTGCCCGGTTTGTTGATACTTCCCGCGCGTCTTGCTTTGGCAATCCAACCCGCTGCCAGCCCGAGGTTACCCCAAGGTTGGGGGTAGGGCCGCACAAAAGGCTGCTATGGCGCGAGACGGGGCTATGTTTGGACCCTGGACGTTTACTGATTACAATAAGTACTGGAGCGAGGCTAAAGATATGCCTTTTTTTCTCGCTGAGACATGTCCTTTCGTCATTCTCATTGTATAGGACATGATTTATAGCTAGTGTGAAATAATGTCGTCATTGTATAGGACAAAGCTGGTGTGAAATAATTTTTCCCTTTTTGTACTGTCAAAAAATGTTGCTGTAGACACTTTTCCGAAAACCGGAAGCCAAGCAACCGCGGGTAACCTCACGATTCTTATGCTGCTATGCACACGTACAGGTAGGGGGTAGGATGTGTGTGTGCGTGGAGGGGGGTTTAGTGTACAATCCAAGCAGAGGTTGGTGGAGGAGATTGTGACCTTCTAACATATGCCCCGTTGTCTATCATACACCACTCTCCATCAAGAGTGAAGAAAACACGCTGTTATTACGGATAATGCGACGTCCCTTCGGTAAGCCGAGATAATAACTTTGCCGGACGGAAACACACCGGAAGACCGGCCGGCCAGGTGATCCCTGAGTGACGGGCTGCCTATTGTTTGGAGCAGGACCCGGGGGTGGACGGCTCAGGGCCGCCCAAATCAGCTGGGCTAGCAGAAATCCATTATAGCCTTTGTACACAATGTTTATTGAGACTCACCCCCGCAAAGGAACAACCTTTCACCCCCCCCCCCCCGAAAAAAGGTACTCGCGTTCTTTGGTCGTACAAAACTAGTGATATTTTTGTCAGGTTTTTAGGGAGCACACAGTACGTCATGCATTTGTATGGGAATACTAGTAGTCTTTATTCATACACACGTAATTCTTTCCCAGTAAATTATGTTTAGCTGATTCGATTTAGTCACGCTTTCGTTATGAACGAAACTGCAGGGAAATTTCTGTGCGAGAGCAACTGATCAACGAAACCAGACTGCGAGCTCAGTTTTCTTTTAGATGTGAGTTTTTAGAATTCCCCAAACGGAGTCACCTTGCCCCCGTTCGATTTGCGAAAACGTTTAGTACCAATGCCTCAGTAATAGCCTGAAATAGTTATAGATCGAAGCCAGGCACGTCACGCATTCAGAACGCCAATGTGGCTGCTGCAGAACATTTTCCATTAGGAGTGAGTGACTGCAAATGTCGTACTTTCAGTCTTCGACCCGTGGCAAATAACGCGGTCGTGAATGGCACAACTTTTCTGATAAATCAAAAAGAGCAAAGTTTGCAGCGCTCGTGAAAGAACGTCGCATATTTGCAGCGGTGTCGTTTATATAAGTGACTGCCTTGCCTTAAAGCATTCCGAAAATGTTAGATTAAGGAATTCAGGTGGACCCAACCCTTTAAAAGCGATATTGAAGCACCGACAAAGCCCTTCAGGGTGGAGACGTTGACCCCACCAAGTAAATGATTGAAAGGAAGGTCAATAGATTGTAGACACTCCTCTTTTTTCCTTGTGAATTTTGGATGAAGCCACAATGGCTCGCGTAGCTCCTCAGTGTGATTTTTGGTGAGTGTTTAGGTTGTCCTTTTGGAAACACCCCTGTGCCTCACACTACAGGCATGTGATGCAAACCAGCTGATCAGCTGTGTTAGCATCACCAAACAGGCGCCTGTGGGCAATGGGATATTTGCGTCTAGCGTGGGGCGTGTATATCCTTTTAGTCCGCAGGACGAGGTCAGGGCTCCAGCTTAGGTAAACCCAACGCGGTCCGGATCCCTGATTTTGGGACATGCCCCCTCCCCTTTCTCCCAAAGTCTGAAATATTACTGCCCTTCAGAAGTCGCCACCTGCATTCTGCAAAACTTGCTACGCCAGGTGAGCAGTTGACAGGCCTGGACACGTCCCCCTGAACAGGGGTGGGGGAGGGCTGCGGCATTCTGTGGGCAGCTGTGCCCTTGTCGGATGATAATCTCTAGCAGGACAAGCTCTATTCAGACAACGTTAATGGCTTTTCCCTGCCCGCGCCCTCAGGATTTGTTGACCGACTGCCCGGGTTGCCAGGCTCGAGAGTTTGCTTTATTAGAGGGTGGAAGAAGAAAAAAAATCATGTCTTTCTCTCCGATCAGCTGTGAAAGTTTTTTGTGTGTTGGTAATGTTGTTGCAGCACAGGAAGTCCCCGTGACTAAGGTTCCGTTTCAGGTGTTTTGGGGAAAGAATGCGGCCGTACGGTGGGGCTTCCGCGAAGGCCCGGGGCATACCTGGGCGCGGGGGAGGGTGGGCCCCGGTGAGTCAGCTGTACCCCAAAATCACGTGCTGAAGGTCCAACAACGCAACCCAAGCGTGTGTGGAGACAGCAACGTTTGTTTCAAACATCCACTTCTCTGGCTATGGCAACCTTTGAAATTGCAGTTCTAGGGCCCCGATATTTTTAGAGGTCGCGACCGTGGAGTAACGTTAACATCTGTCGAGTTGTAGTGTGCCACAGTGCTTCAGATCGCACATTCTTTTGAAACATTCTCTTTTACCAAAGAACCGTCTGTTCGACGGACATAACACGACGTTGTTACAGAACTACACCCCCATTCGTCACGATACTTATCCCTGCAACCCCCTCCCCACTCACAAATCGTAAAGAGAGGGTCAGACTAGGGTGAACTCACAAACAAAAGCTTCAGCTAGAAACGCGAGGGGTCGATGTTGGGGGCATCTGCATGCAATATTCCGGCATGGTCCCCCAGCCGCAAGACATTTGTTTTCTTTCCCACAAACGCTGTTTTCTATTCAAACGGTGTATAAGATTGACGGCTGCCACTATTTGATCCACAGCGAGCTGTCGTCTCCAGGGAATGGTGTAAAACTTTGCGGCTGAGCTTTCATGTCAAATATGGACTGCACAACCAAATATGGGGGCATAATTGATAATAACCCGTCTCTTTCTGTGGGTAGAACAGCTGACGTTGCCCATTCTTTGCATCTTTTTTCGGTTCGAGTTAACAATGAGCTCGCACTGCAATGGTAATTGACTATGCTAGCTCCCCGGGGAGGGTAATCCCAGAACTGTGCTTACAACAATTATTTTTGCGTGGGAGGAACTGAGGCCCTAAGCCCCGCCTTCTGTTCTAGCAGGCTCGGGGTGACACCCGAAACTTGTGAAAACTCGGCAATTTGCGGCAATTCGACAACCGTGTCTAGACACGTCACAGTGTGAAAGGGGAGGTGCAATTGTAATCGTGTTGATTTTAAACAGTCGGGCAAAATTATCTCCGTATAGGGCATGTCCAAACGCGCATGTAATATGTTTAGAAACACTCTGTATGGGCACATCTTTTTACTACAGTTCTGTACATAGAGGAAAGACTTTTATTTCTTTTCCTTTACATAATTCAGTCTAAATGTATTATATTTGAATGAAAGCAACATATGTCTGCGAGCCCTGTGGTTGACCTCTTAGGTCATCTGCATATGCAGCACAGCCGTGAGAACGCTCGTTTGAACCAGCCGAATCGGCGCTCGCACGCTAAAATATTAAAATATGGACCACCAAACTTTCCTCGTTTTATCTCTCTCTCTTATCTATAAATAGTATTAATATCCCGTGGTCGTGTTAATCCGTCAAAAATGGATTTTCGTCGCGCATTGAAGTGAGTCCACACTGAAGTGTTTCAGTCGCTTTTTATCTAGATCTGGTCCCGTGAGACGACACTATTACAGCTACCCCCTCCCCACCCTAAACAGGAACAAAACGAGAGGAAGAAGGTGTTAGAAACAATGGCTTTTGCACCGGAGAGCAACAATGGAGCTTACACAGATCGGAACGGGAAACCCCACAGTAAATAGTCTGCATACAATTAAAAAAGCGAACCATTTTGCAACATCGTGTGTGCATCACAAAGAAAATCTGGAGAGTTTCACACCCTTGGAGCTTTACTATGTCAATGCGCAGATGCCACGATTGCCAGCCTTGTCCGGGCGGATTATTGCAAGCAGCCGCCCCGCAAAATTGTGCAAACAAACCCGTCTACCATTCGTGTTCTCAAGGGGAACGATTTGAGATCCTAGCTAGCCAGATCCCATGCTCAAAACCCGGCGAAGAAAAACAAAATTGCTCCAGGGTAACGTGCATATGAAAGACAGCAATTTGCCGGCATAATCACACACTCATTACCGGGAGAAACTGACCGTGTTTCTCGCGACCAAGGTCCACGCAGGGCCGCTGTTCAGTAGAGTCAACACCGAGGGCGTTCTCTCAAACATTGCCGAGAATGTTTGCCTACTTCGACAGGTCGGCAGGGGGACCAGCCCCCGGCATTGATCAAATATATTTTCCTCACTCCACATTGATTGATGGAAAGTTCACAGGCAACTCTTTTGTATATAGGAGGACGTATTTGTGTTGTATCGTGTTTGCACCCATTTTTCACATGATGCATACCATGCCAATGATGCCATAGTAGCCCCAGACTTAAATAGAAAGAACTTCCTCCTAGTATCACACACTACAATGTGTTGAACGATTTAGGAAAACTTCAATGTTGGGGACCGACCCTGGATCGTGTTAGCACTGTTACGTTTAAAGTTGAAGGCTGCCCCAATACAAACAACCCTTGCAAGAACGGAAATGTCTGACTTTCTGTGATTTGCCTGAGTCGGTAACTGCAATTTCTCATGATGAAAAATGGTATAAATTGACGGTGTTATTCCACATAGGGATGGCTTCCTCTGCAGAGTACTCAGTACTAAGATAAATGGGAACAAACTACCTGAATGGGAGCTGGGACGCCATCTTGTCCTTGGGGGTGGTCTAGTTGAGTGTTTTGCCTTTGTGCAAGACAAGCAAAGCTGCATGTACAGTCTACAGATAACCTTGTATTGTCTAGAGTACTGTAGCACCCATGAGGCTGACGTGGGGGACAAGCAATTGCGTCTGTATTAATATTTTCCATCACTCCCCATATGCTCATTACTGGTCTGCCCTAAGCCCAATTTCAGATATATAGGCTAAATGCATGGCTAAATGCATTTTGCAAGAAAGCTCTTTTGGGATGCGGTACATTTGATGCATTCTAGGTAGATAGGAGTAAGCTGGAACTGCAAGATATTTATATCCTGCTCCATGATTGTAGCATTTTTGTTGTACAAAATGTTACAATGCAGTCAGGATATTATCATGCAATGTATAGCAGCCTGTAATGGCTAGGGCAGTAACAACTTGTTGGATAAAAAGGCCAGGAAATGGCCGTGGAAATTTTTATTACAACCACTGGACGGGCACAAAGCGGCGGCCTACAGCCGTACAGGGAAATCTGACTGCCCTTTTGACTTCTAGTTCAAAGCATGGCCCTGGCACAGCTACAAAGTCTAGCACAAGCTGCGCTTCCGGTCGCCCGGCAAATGCAAATGACTCCTATCTGAGAAAACCCTCCTACTGGAAAATACTCCTTTGGGCTTCCCTCACTTGAGTCATCATCTGAAGCCGGGTTGCCCCCAAAGTAATACCATCCAGTAGGAGGAGACTGTAATCTTGAATAAGTTCCCCATTACTGTACGCCAGTTGGATGTCCATAAAAGGGCATCGGCAGCTTGGAAATCCCTCCACATCTCATGAAAGGCAGTGTAGATTTATTTTGGGAAGAACTGGGGGCGCCGAATGATCAGTTTTACTAGCTTCTAGTCACGGAGAGGAGCATTCAGCTGCTGGAAACAGATAACTGGTCATTTGTTAAACGTGAACATGGGGCGGTAGGGGGTACCCACCTGTTATCGAGTAGTGTTGTGCTTCTGTACTGTAGCATCATCACATAACATCTTCAGGGCTATCCTGGAAATATATCTAGTCTCCAACGGACCCCTTTGCACCAAATAATAGAAATTTGCCACATAAGGGCCATTGTCATATTTGGCCAATTTCTATGTATTTTTAACTCCCTGAAAGGAGCCTGAGGGAGACTAGGGAAAATGGGTCATGTCATAACTAGGCTATACTGCATCATGTCACGTGTCAAAGCAATGCACCAGAAACACTGTAGCTAGGTCGTTAACGAAGAAGACACATGGATAGATCACAGCTAAAAATCATGCAAGTGAACCAGAAACTGAATGTATTGATACTGATAAGAGATGTTACTCACGTGCACTCCAGTAACCTGCAAATTCGGAATATAGTATATGATAATGTTTGCCGCTCGTTTGTATAACATAATAGTACCATACCATATATGGCTACACAGTGCTGACCGTTGTTTCTCTGTTGATCCTGTCCAGGTGAATGATTTCCTGTCCGGCCGGTCTCCCCTGACCCTGGCGCTGAGAGTCGGCGACCACATGATGTTCGTGCAGCTGCAGCTCGCGGCCCACCAGATCCCCGCCAGCCACCAGCCGGCCAATCAGGGAGCAGCCTACAAACGTTTCGCAACAACCAATAGCAAATCCTCCTCCTTCAGCTCTGCTGCTGCTACGGCCAAGTCGACGACCACTGCCACGCCGCTGTCATCCCGCCACCATCCGTCCAAATCGTTCACATCCTCAGCATCATCATCCTCTTCTTCTTCTTCATCAACAACATCATCAACATCAACATCTTCTTCATCATCTTCTGCATCACAACAGGTACATACAAACTTGATCCAATCCAATGGCTTTGTTTAGCTTTAGTTTGATAGCTCATATTGCTTTGCAAAGAATACTTTCATTACCAGTAAACTAATCACCCACATTTTCATTTGCAGAAGTCATCTTCCTCCTCGAAGCAGGGTGCATTCATTGAGAGCATCAAGAACCATGGACCAGGCATCTACTCAGGGACATTTTCTGGTGAGTTCATCTCTTATAAGATTTCAACCAAATCCTATAACATCATTCTTGGTGCTATTGGAAATTTACCTTTACCCTTACCTGACCTAGTTCCATCTCATGCCTGACAGCTGGGGACTGAAGAAGTGGCATCCAGTATCCTCTTCCATTTCCTCTGGCTCTGTGAGAGCACTCTGCTAGTGGTAATTTTGCCCATCCAGTCTCGGATGTCATCACACCACCTCCTTGTCTGCCATTGATGGTGGCCCTTGTAATATGTGAGTGGTGACTGGAAAAGCAGAAACAGCATATTTAGTGAACTAGATCTAACATCTCATGTCCTTCTTCACAGGCACATTGAGTCCTTCCCTTCAAGATGACCAGGGTAGGCCCCGGAGAGACATCAACACCATCTTGCACATCCTCAACGACCTCCTGGGAGCGACGCAGCGGTTTTCCTTCGGACCTGGCGGCACTCTGTCCAGTGACCCCCCAGCACCGGAGACGACAACTACCACCAGACCTCGCACACCAACGCCACCTCCCCCTCCCCGCAGTCCTGGTAAGATACAGCATTTATCTAAGCTACTACAAGGAAAGAACAATCATTTTACTGCAGGGTGATCTCCAAGTAGATGTTGTGGTAGCTTGTTCTGTTCACTGAATGGCTGGCCAAGTGTTGGCAGCTGTCAGAGAAGCTAAAGCCAGGCAGTCAGAACATGTTACCATGACATCTGCTTGGAGAATACTGTAGGGTTAGACAGAAAGCTAAGACAGCCAACACAGCCCTCAACATCTGTTGAAAACGTCATTCCACACCTCTACATGTATTACTGAAAGCAGGCTATGCAATCAGTCTTAGCTGCAAGACTGGTGACTACCCCTCACAAATTTCCCCATTCAATTTCACCTGGAGTTGGTGGGGGGCACATGGAGGTTTAGGTCAGTGCTCTCTGGAAATTGCAAAAACATAGCTGAAGTCTGTTATCTCCTCTTTTCCCCCGCATTCCATTCATAGGGTTTCCTCCATCTATCAGTGAGGTATAACTCTGTACCGAGAGGTCAGTTTGCTGATCTATGTGCAAATCATATCAAACCTGCACACATGGGTGCCCTTGGCAGGTGCTCAAGTTCCGGGGCAGGGTAGAACTGAAAATGAGGGAAAATCTTAGAAGATGAGACGTTATCTTCTGGTCCTTCAGGTCATTTGTCATCTCGGCTTTGTTGGATGATACAAAGGCTGCTCATTATCAGACTGGATAATTTACGTGGCTTCCCATTGCCTCCATGCATTCATCATAATCCAGCTGTGCCATCATAACAGCTCTGCTGAATATGTAAGGACAAGTGGGTCAAGCCATGGTTTGATCAATCCTGCTTCTCAATTTTCCTCTTTTTCTTGGAAATATACTTGCTCCCACACCCTGACTCCTTGGGGGGCTTCAAAACTAGCAAAAGTTGGCCAAATAGGGAGAATCATATGCCAGAAAAATGAGCAGAGTTTCATGCTTGCAACCAACATGTAGCTTGTCATGGCAAATTATTCAGCCTAATTTTTACTACTTTTCAGCAACCCAAAAAGTCTGAGCAGCAGCCCTGCAGACAATATTCGCTCTCGCTCCCCTCCATTCTGGGACTGTGAGTTTTTGGCATTCAGCACTCATGCTGATGAAGTCATGGGGTTGCTCCTGAGCCCCCAGTGGAAATAGGCAGCCATAAACAGTGCTCAACCCCATCCACCCACGCTGCTCGCTCATTCATTCACAGCGCTAAGCTGGCCCCATCTCACGATCACAGGGAATATCACCGGGCCCAAAATAGATCTGCGGCTGGTGCTCATGACTCTGAACATACATTACCTTTAAGATGCGGAGCTGGAGCCTGAATGGCTCCTTCCGCCCACGCTTTCCATTCATGCTGCCATCTCATTCAATCAGGGTATGCCCAGGAATAGGCAGAGGAGATCCGTCTTAAAACACGGGCCTGAGCGGTGGTCTGTAAATCCCTCACCCTCCCACGTTCACCGAGAACCAGGAATGACAACTTTGGTAGAGGAAGTTCCCCAAAATAGAAGCAAAATTCCACCTGATTTCCTCTGTGTTGTTGGCTAAAGCTCGTGGGGGAATAGTCAATGAGAAATGGAAATCCACAACCCGAGAACCGGAAGTACGGTACCCGAAATAGAAGCAGAAACCCCCATGACTTGCACAATGATTTTGGCAAAAGTTTGTGATAAGCTCATGCAGGTACATTGAAAATGATCTGTATTAATTTTAATTTTGATGGATTGACGCAGTGTTTTGTGTAAGTACAGGGGCACAAAAGGGTGAAATTTCTATAAGATGTGTCGCGACCTGTTTTGTCAACCCCGATGAAGAAAAGGCATAGTCCCTGTGCACAACAGATTAGTGTAGACACATCAAATCAGCTTAGAAAATATCTTGAGAGTGGTTTTATGTTCGTACTCTTGATAGGATAGCACCTGAGTCCAGAGTCTGATATTTCATCCTCCCCTGCAAGGATCAGCAACAAAGTATGAGAAGCCTGCCAGTGCTTTTAGCTGTGCTGCCATTTATCATGTATATATATATATATTCCTGAAACAGCACTACTCTGGGCTGGAACACGGGGGCCTCCGCACACGCCGCTATGAATGAAAGTTCTTTCCTTGTAGGGCATTAGTTGCAGCGCAGCGCTTGCCTTATATGGTAATGTTGCAGCGGGGTATGATGGTGAGAATGTCAAATGAGGGCCGCTCGCTGGTGCAAGTGCCCAGAAGGGTACCTAGGGATATAACATGCAGATACTTCTTCATGAAAGGGGTGCTTGCAGTGGAAAACGTTAATGTTACGGGCTGATGCCATCAAAGAGTTGAAGTTACCTGAAGATTGTTTACCACACAGAGAAGATACATGTATGTGCCACTGGAAGCAAAACCCTTCATGTATTCTGTAGAGGGCTAGCTAGGAAATAACAATCTGATTAAACCCAAGATTTAGCATCATCCGGCTACCTATAAAATTACAATAATATGATTAGCACAAGATTTTTCTTACATTTTTTACAACAAAAACTGTTATGACAGCGTGAGTTTGGAATGGCAGATTAAATTCATAATCATTTTGGTTACACATTGTGAACAGCAGCAATAATTCTCAGCTAGCTTTGAGCATAATAGGAAATAAGCCTCGGGGTGGCATGGCTGTCAACAGGATAGACATTCAGCTCTGTCAACAATGCATGATGTAACCCTGTACATACACTTCCTGCGGATGTTTTACTGCGTACTGTTGACAATTCCCAGCGACAAAGGAAGGACAAATTTGGCTCGCAAATGCCCTGTCCATGGTGGCTTTGATTGAATAAATGTCCCAATGATGAATAGCAGCCAGCGACTGTGGGGGTCACTGTTTTCAGTGCCAGACATACATATGAAAACCCTGAGAGGCCCAGGAACCCCCCTCCCATGACAAGAAAATTTCACATTTGACATATTCAAAAGCCTGCAGTATTTTGTCTCTTCAATTTCCAGTGATTGACTGAGTAGAGTATATCTTGCTGTGTTGGTTGGCTGTGTTGGGTTGTCAGAGAATTCCAGCTATGTTAGGCTGGACAGGGAAGGATTGTAGTGGGTTGGGTTGGGTGCGTTGTGCTTTACATTCTGACATTGATTGATGGTGAATACAACATTGAAGCACAAATGTGATAATAACATGTGCTTCTCCCGTGTGTTTTCCTACAGCTGAGATGAGCGCAGCACGGATGGACGAGGAGAATCGTGCGACGAGAGGGAAGGTCGAGCAGCTCCAGCTCCTCATGCAGCAGACACGACTGCGCCGTAAGGCCCGCCGGGAGCAGCGCACGCCCTACTGGACCAGCGGGAGGAAATCCTCGCGGACGGACAGTACGGGCAGCAGTAGTAGCGACTCCGGCGCGTCTGTGGACATGGACATTGAGAGCTCCGTGGCCGCGTCCGACAGCAACGGCTACCCCAAGATCAACCCGGAATACGTCTTCGCTTGAACGACACATCAAACTGTTTGACGTTTTCTTGACTGGCTTGACCCGAGTTGGTTGCAATCCTTGCCTGACAACTCAAGTTGATGCCATTGGGTGTTGCTTGCCTGCAATTCAAACTTGAACTGTTGACCTTAGGGTCAAGGTCACTTGGTGAGTGAGGTTTAAAGGGCTGTGGCATTGTGGTTACTGAGCAAGTCCCTTTGCACTGCACTAGGTGGGTGATAAAAACCACTAACAGATAACGCAGTATATGGCCTCTAGTCTTGGGGTGGATCGAATTAATGGACCAATTGACTTTTGTGTGGTATGATGACGTTTTAGTCAGAGATGGGGTGTGAGCTAGTTTGAGGTTTACCTTTAGTGAGGTTGGTAGCGTGGCGGTCTCAGCCCCCTTGTACTAGTGCTTGTTGTAGAAGTTGTGAGTATAATAGGCAATGCATTCTGACACTGATAACAAGAATCGTTGCTTGACATTTGCAATGTTCCCAGTCCCATGTGGCTATATCAGCCGACTGTGGCTACTAATGAAGACTTAAACCCTGGCCTTGCGCTAGGTCGTTACCATGGATAGAAATAACTGGAAAATACATCATGGACGACATGCAAATGTACATACTTACCCAGAATCCACTGTGTATCTTGTCACTTGTCAGTTTTTGCTGGCTACCTCTCTAATGTTTGCTGTAATTAGCCCTGCAGATCAGAAACAAACTGCCTGTTAGTTAACTAAATCCTGAATTAACCCAGTTTGTACAAAGTTTATGTCCTGGTACTTTCTGTTCTGTAACCTGTATAATGTTATGACTTAACATTTTTTTTGGTATGTCACTCTGTTTATGCTTTCTTCTGCATACATTTGTGTATTGCTATAATGTCAAAACACAGTGATCCTCAATTATTATTATTATTTATCAGGAATACAACTCATGCTGCATTACAGAAAACTATCAAATCATGTCTTCATCCTGACTGTTGTACTTACTTGTACAAACACCTCCACTGCCTACTTTTGAAAATACCTCCTCTTGAAAGAGAAATAAAAGACTTCCTGATACCACCATAGATGTTTTGGACGACTCCTAACCTACTCTTGGGAAAAGTTAGAACATACAGCACATATATGGACTGAATGTAGTAGAATTTGTAGTACCTGTTAGACTAGAAGTGGCATCTTGTAGGGGGAGGGGATAGCACTCTAAACTTTATATCCCACAATTGAAATATTGATATCTCCGATATCTGACAAACAAAAAGGCACAGCTAACAGTGTTCTAAGGTCCATCACTTTTTGTCTTTATTTGTGGGGATAAAGCATATTTTACATCAATTCAGTTAGGTAGATGCATCTCACCATGTGAGAATTTCCATTTCTTCATCTCAGAAGAAGAAACAAACAGTTGGCACTAACTACTACAGGTTTAGAGTGCTGAAGTCCCCCCCTCCTTTAGAAATGCCACTTGGTACCTCTCGACCTAATCCAGTCATTGTAGACCTGACCTTCGCAGGTTTAGGTAAAATCCTTGCTAACCTACTCCGCACACAGTATGTCTGTCACGGGCACCAGCTTCAGCTTACAAGTTGAGGCACTAAACAGTGTTATTCTGTCAGTAGCGACCAGCCATGCAACAGATGTGAATGTCAAGAGCATCGCCCCCTCCCCTTGTATTCTAACAAGTTTTAATATTGAGAACGTTCATGATTCATAAAACTTTTTAAATTGTACGCTTTTCCGTTGCCCTGAGGTATGCTACAATTTGCCTTGGCTTTCTCTTTAGTTCCTCATGAGTGCAACATTGAAATCAGTGACGCAGGTTTCCAGGCTGTAACATCCTTCTATTAGCCCGATGACCCAGAGTGGTATTTATACATCTACTGCATAGCTGGTCGCCCCGTACAACAGTTGTAAATGATACGTAATAAAACTACAATCCAATGTACATATCACAACTCCCAATTGTAAATAGGTACATACTCTCCTTAGGTAGGTTGGAATTCAGAACTGTTGCCTGGACTGGCATTCTATGGACTGTGTAACTGAAGGCTTGAATTTTGTTGGGTCAAACCAAATGAAGGGTTTGATTATTGAAACAGAACGTCATCTATGACAGTTAATCTATGTCAAAGTAATGACAATAGTAATTGTATTGATAGAATGTACGTGTTAGAATAGCTGGAAGGACAATTCTCCTGTACATGTGTTATACATAGTATGTATTATATATAAACAATTTACGTATGTGTGTGGACTGCATGCTAGACAGGTATTGAGTAGGGAAGAACCAAGTATTTTTGGTGAGATTTTTTCCGTGTATTTGCACATTGTATGATATGCAATTTCATGTGTGATGATCATGGAATATACTTCAGTGGCAGTACTATATGATTCAGTCAACTTCTCTTTCTATCTGTGTATGTTTTGGTGTCATAAATGAACTTTTCTTGCCAATGCTGTGTGAAAGCTGGATGGTGTAATGTCGCAATTTCATGCCAGTTGTGGAATACTTGTCCCGGAGAGGACGCTTCAACATTCAATAAAAATTCCAACAGAAATGGTTGAAATCATGAACATCAACTTGTCATGGTGTTTTTTTATTACCCACAGTGGTTGATATAGGTAGGGTAGAAAAAAATGTTTAATGCATATATAACAAAATATTAAAAGTCATGGCATATGTAGAATACTAGCAAAATATAGTACCTAATTCACAAATACATAGTTTCATATGATTGATACTAGTAAGTCAATAAAAACTGGGTTCTTTGCTACACAACTAAGGACAGTAACTAGTGGAAAGGTTACCAAAAAATTGGAAGCTAAAATCATTTGGTGGTCTCTAGACCCTTAGTCATGTGGTAGACAGTAGGTTAGGACCACTACACAGTTCAAGAGCCAACTGCAATTGTTCTGCACCAAAGATGGTTGGGCTTAATTTACAGTTAACTCAGGCTACATGAAGTATTTATGTGAAGTTGGAAAGGTGTGTAGAGCCCCGGAAGGTGAGGGTGGTGGGGGGTAGGTGTGTCTGCGTGGGGGAGGGGGGTGTCTCCCTTTGCCCTCCAGCGATTTGGACGCTTCCAGTTCAACACACATGTACCATGCAAACGAAATGCATTTCCTGTCACTCTGACATGGCTAAATACACGATATCTAAGGGTGACCCCAAGAATTCACCAAGAATTCAAGACATTTCTAGCCTGGTGGAAAACCCTATTGCCTTATAAGGAGTATTTCATTTAATTTAAAGGGGAGCATTACATGCCCTGTATCTGTACCCCCTCCAGTCTTAAAAAGGAATATGCCAGAAGGTGACTCCATTTCAATACATTTCTAGCTAGGTGGAAAAAGCCTATTTCCTTATCAGTAATATTTCATTGAATTTGGAGGGGAGCATTAGACTCTACAAATGCAAATTTTCCTCACATGTGAAACTGCTACCCCCTCCAGTTTTAAAGTGGAATATGCTATATAATAAAAACTGTATATATACAGCATAGGACAACTCAAGTGATATTCAATCCTGGCGTTTTGCCAGTTTTTCTCAGGGAACAGTTGGGTTGGAGAGGATTAAAAAATAATTATATGGCCCTCCGTGAAGAGAGCATGTTGTGCATTTGTAAATGATAGCAACGAGAGGATTGCATTACAATTAACAGTCCGGGTTTATACCCATACATTGAAATTCTAGTCAACAATTTGCCACCCACACAAAAATTAACACAAAGACTTGTCCAGGTCTCAGACAACTGCGAGCATATTTTGAATACCTTGATGTTATTAAACTAGAATGATTCAGCTATATCATAGTTATGTAGGTGTAGCCGAGGGTCCGGATGCTTCCTCGTAGGACACACCTATCATGTAGTCAGTCAAGCGTAACTAAAAACTGCACTGACAATAGGCTGAATCAAAGTGAACATAAATCATGCCTGGACTGCTAATAATTATATGTTTAACATGTTTAAATACAGTATCAACATGCAGGTATACATTTGAACTGGTTACACCTCACAATGTAACACATTGAAACACGAAATCTTGCGATCAGGCCATATCAATTTGATTTGTTGGTTCTCGGTAATAAGGCGTGCTTGGCTAAATAAATTCTTGGTGACTGTCATTTCAAGATAATGCATAATCTTCTGTCACTTGATGACTAATGACTGATTGTTTTTTTTTTGTGTGGTTTTGAGAAACAAGTAAAAACTTGGCCCAGCCTTAATAAGTTGGAGTGGCTGTGTAATCTTATTTCACCTGGGGAGAGCTCAGATCTTTCTACAGAACAATACTGAAGGGAAGTCTTGATGAAAGAGGGAACCTTTGGGAAAATTGACCCAAACAAGGGACAATCCATTATAATCTCACCAGGGATCATATCAAAGGGACAATCCATTATAACTTCACCAGGGATCATATCAAAGGGACAATCCATTATAATCTCACCAGGGATCATATCAAAGGGACAATGCATTATACTAGTAACTTCACCAGGGATCATATCAAAGGGACAATGCATTAGAACTTTACCAGGGACCATGTCAAAGGGACAATACATTATAACCAACAAAAATTTTGTCATGAGTGGCGAAATGCCGTGAAATGCCGGAAAAACAGACGCTGGCTAAAATACCGAGTTGAGAACACCTTGGTCCAACCAACAAGAGAATCCATCAGTCAATTGAACACCCACTTTACAGACATTTTCTTTCTAATTTTCCGCTGACCCTTTTCACATTTGACTTCACGCTTACATCAAATGTCAGTCGCTCGGTTACTGATGTCATAAGGATACTCCAGGCCATTTACCTTTGAATACCTGTCTGTCTGCCACCTTTGACAGTGTGAAACAAAGGTTTTGCTTCTTAACTCTGTACTTTTGTATCACATTTGTGCTGCACTTGTTAAATTCATTGACGGTCAAAAAAGAATTCAGTCAAAATCAAGGTGCTGAAGAAACAAGTGATTGTACTAGATGAGCCAAGTACGTAATAGACTAGTATTATCTGTTGTGACCCAGGCTTTAGCCCACTGGTGGTGACCTTTCCTTGATGCTTAACCTACTGTGCCATGATCTTTCAGTAGAAGTGTTACAAAACATCTTACAGCCCACATTCAAATGTCATAAAATAATCCAAGATACCACACCAGGGCTGTACCATTGTGTGAGCTGGGGAGGGTCAGGTTCACAAAGGGGAAGGGAAGGGCGTACTGTAAAATCTTGAAATATTTGTGGTATTTTTGTGTGCATGGCTTTCACGGTCACTTTTGTACCATGAACTTATCATTACCTTGGACAAATAATTTGCCAACTTTCCTTTTTCTTCCCCTGCTGCCACCACAAACATATAGTTCTGCAAACTTTTGCCATCTTGGCCTGTTTAAGACACTTGTGAGGTTATTTGAGGGCGAAATTTTACACATTTAATTGTGCATGCTTTTTGCACACGCATACTTCGAAAGTAGCAGACTGTGTATAATTCCTTTCATAGAATCATTGTCTGTGACTGCATTGTGAACGACAAGTCGGCAGCCTAAGTCTAGATCTATATGGGCTCTACCAACAATACATAAGCTGTGATGTCGTGCAAAAACACTTAAGGTTAGATCACAAGGAAAGCATCGATAATAAGCATAGTCTTTGCATCATTGTTGTCATCATTCAAAAATGGGGGCCCGCATTTTGTGAAGGTGTAATTATCTATTTTGATTTCATGTAACTCGTAATCTGGTAATTCACTGTTGTGCATTGGATTGGCAGGTGGATGAAGTTAATCTAAGGCGTAAGGAGTGTATCTGAATTAACCACAATATAATACGCTGTACTGTAAATCATGAAATAATCACAGCAGTTTTATTTCTGCAGTAACTCAATAGGTTAGAAGAATTTAGAACTACCAGGTTTTCTGAATCTGACTGCCCAGTCGAAAGAAAACCAACCAAATCAACTGTATGTCCTTTCTAATTTCCAAGCAGATGTAAGGGTTCAGCTTGGTGTTGTATACATGTTTTTGCAGCATGACATCCTTTTAGTGGTCCACTTTTTATCTCGGACAAGATTACATGCTTTAGACATCATCTTTCTCAACCTTTGCCTTTCCAGAGAAAGTTGTCCTACTTTCTGCTCCCTGACATGACCAAAGTTGGACTAGCCCTAACTTAATTGTCAGCCCTGTTTATTTTTGTTCCCTAGCAGAGTTCTGCTTTGAATCAGGAAGCAGCTTTAATTACCAAGGTTTATTTAGTGCTGACTACTGATACTTGCAGGGGTTCAAAAGTTGAGGCTGATAGGCCAACACTCTACCTTTTTGCACTACCAGTTTTAGGAAGGGGCAAGGTATTTACAGGTTCATTGTACTGTGGAAATTGCCCTAGCTCTTTTCGACAAACACATTGAACAGTGGACCATGCCTTTACGTACTGTCCTAAGGACTGCAACCCTTTCCAGTAGCATGCATGTCGGGTGAGCGACACAGCTGGGATTCAAACCTCTTAGTCCAGAGACAGGGTTGCTAGCCACTGGACTATGAATGCTACATGGGTACCAACAAACAAAACTTCCCTAAAGTCATTTGCTAAAAGCTTTGTATTACATTTGTACTTGTTGCTAGCACTTGAAAAGTCAGAAGAGCCCCCTAGCAGGCTACTTCATAAATGCAACATGGAAGCTATGCAACGGGGATGATAATGATTTACTGTAAAGATGATATTGCAACTAATTTTCTTTTTCCACTTATCATTTTCGAGTTTGAAATACTTTATTTTCTCAGGTTGCCCACTAAGCAACCAAGATTTCACATTTCACACCTCTCTGAAGCAACCATAGAGGTAGAAGGGAACTACTCGATGAAGCAACAAAGCCAAAAGCTAGGTTGCTCATCAATATTTCAGGTTGCCACCAACCCTGGCTGTTTATTTTATGAGGCAAAGCTGTATTAAAGCCAGGCCACCTGTAGATGTATCGCTCACATGCTGGCTGTGGCAGGACACAGTTCAGTACTTTGCATTAGGCAACCCAGCATCTCCGATAAGTCTCACACAGAAACCATTACTTGCCATGTCTAGAGTGTGAGTGCCAGTTTTTCGAATCCTGAAATGTTTAGGGTTGGTAACTCTGGTAATTGTAATCATGGCTCCATGACAGTTCCAGTCAGTGACTTCTTTATTTCAGCATCAGGGAACAGACATGTTCCCTGTAAACTCTTGCTAGTACTGTGCCTGTGAACTGCTCCTTCAGCTGATCTACAGTCCTGCACTCCACCACTTCAAACTGAGGGAACCTGGGGACAGACATAGAACACATGATCACTCTTACAATGTAAGAATCAAAGGGAAACAAAGGTACAACGCCATTAGCCATGCACTTAAGGGTTTTATGTTGCATTCCCATGCAAGGGTTTTATTTTACATTCCTATGCATGGAAGGGTTTTATTTTACATTCCCTTGCAAGGGTTTTTATTTTATATTCCCATGCAGTGTAAACTGAGTCTACATAGCTTTAGAAAAGGTTTCTCTTTCTCTTTAAATGCAGAAGTTTTTCAGTACCTGACTGCTCCCTCCTGGACTTTCTCCTCCCACAGAACTGTCAGCATCCTCTCCTTACAGCTGCGGCCGGCCGAGTCCACGTCCACACTCCGTGTTCGCTGCCGAGTGATGTACTCCTGTAAACAGACAGAACAACAAACAACCATTTCCTTAGTGGTTCTCATAGAAAACTGAAAAACTGTCCTCTTTGAACCAAAATACAATTGTATCATAATACAATTGTATCATTCTTAAAGTATTTTTTACTGAAGTGATAAAAACACTAGACAACAAATTCAGCAAATTGCGCCCCCTGGATCCTCTAAAGTTGTCATGCTTTGGATAATATGTGAAACAAAATCAGGCTCGCTAGGACAATGCTAGATACCATAAGGTTTTATCTAATACATACCTTGATATTTTGGAGTGAGCCCAGCAGCAGTATGAGTATCAGTCTCTCCTGAAACAGTAGTCTGCCTGTCAACGACAGCTCCTTAGTCCACTTCACAATCGTCTTGACATATTTCCCACGTGCCCTCATGTGGTCCAGATGGAGCAACGTCAACCACAAGTCTTCTTGAACCTCCCTCTGAGAGGAGCACTGCTTAGGTGTAGTACTACATACCTCTGTGGCCTGTTCAGTTTCTGGGATATGTTCTTCCAGCCATGTCATCAACTGTAGCACCATTGGTGCTTCGGGTAAAGTTCTGGCGTGGGTGGAAAGTTCCTGTTTCAGTCTGGAGATGGCGCAGCGTGAAAGGCTCGCCGACGACAGCGAGATGTCGGGGTGCACCCTGGGATAGCCCTCGGGGAGCGTGAAGGAAGCGGATAGCGATATCGTGTCGTGAAGACCGCGGCATTTTGTTGAGACACAAAACATGGGCACCCTCGCATCTATAATAGCATGAAGTAGTACACTTGGTGAGTCAAGAGGTATGAAAATAATGATATATAATGATTATGTTATAGATAGGGGTATAATTTTATTTGTGTCTCAAGTCCACTAATCACATTCGTGCTAAGCTTATTAGGTTACCTTCATTATATGAGTTAAATTTAGATAAGTGCATTATATTATTATAGAGTTAAGCTTTGGTACGAAATATGTGTGAAGTTAGTAGCTGTGTTACAGGAAAAGTAGTGTACAATTATACAATTGAAATACAATACAATACAATTGTGCAAATCTTTACTGGTGTACTAGGCTACTATTAGTCTGGGTGCCATCCTCTGCTAAGTTTCTGCCGGCTCCATAATGACACCGACTAGGTGGTAGGAAACTATGGAGGATTGCACCCAGGCTAATTAAAAACAGATCTCTTCAATTCATTCTACACCTACGCAAATGCATTGATCTGACTTTCTTCAGATCCTAATAATATATACATACATGTACCAGTACAAACTTGCTTCAAAAGAATCCTCCTCCATGATCCATTGTTGACAGAAGTACTATAGTCAATCAATAACCCATTACGTGGGAATGACACTCCAATTTTCCAGTGCCCCTTTCATAATGCCCCCCACCCCCACTGCAATCATAGATTTGGAATTAAAGGGAACTGTCAGGGAAGTTAAAATTCATTATGTTCTGCTTCAAAATCGCATTAGATTACCAGAGGAGGGCCCACATCAAAGCAGGGGCGGAAAGTAGATATCAAAGATGAAGTACACATATCAGACTTAAAGCTGTCCAGTAAAATCTTTTTCGGGGTAGTGCTGTTGCAAAGCAGATGGCATGCACCCAGACTAGCAAATTTTGCTGGTAGACTAAGCTTAGTTTAAATAATGGCACTTTTCTTTGTTCCACTTTGTAATCGCATTAGATTACCAGATAGAAGAGCAGGGGCAGAGACTAGATAACAAAGGTGAGGTACACATATCAGAGTGAGACAATTGCAAGTTAAAGCCATCCAGTGTTCTAGCCACCCTGAATCCCAATTTTGTTTGACAGGGCAATTTCCTGCATTTTGAGAGGCAAATTTTGTTGGTAGACTTTTGAGCTTAGTTTAATGACAATTTTCTTTCCATATCTTTACATGATGATTTTTGTCCATGAAAGATGACAGCAAAATTCTGTCAAATGATAGGAAGACAGTTGCAATTGTTGGCTAGAAGTTCCAAGGAGGTTCAAAAGCTCCTTGCTAGAACAATGGGTTAGGTAGACATCAGAAATATCAGCACAGCTCCAATTTTACCTGCACTAATCTGCATGTGCAGGTGGTATTTCCCAAGGACGCAATGTAACCTCCTCCTGGTATTTCAAGACTAACATAAGTCATGGTCCCCTTTAGTCCATCCATATGAAAAGGGAACCGCTGAGATTCTGTAATACGTCCGTGGGCGGAGACACGGGAGTTTAGGCCGCGCTATCGGTGAGATAACATCTGGAGAGCTCAACGTTTTATGCAACCAGAGTTACACAACAGACAAGACAGCCTTAGCACTGCACTAACTTGATTTTGGACATCCCAAAGGAAACAGGAAGATGCTTAGGTAACTGGAAATGCAATTACAGGTATGCCCAAACTACCGGTACAACTTGATTTACATATCAAGGACACTTTACAGGGGTCAGTGACTTTGTCATGCTCACCCAGTTCCTTTTCCTTTCACAAGTGTTGATTAGTTTTGCTAGCTCATTCTAGTTCTAGTGACGCTGAAAAAGAGTAATGGGTGTCACTTAGAAATGTCGGGAAGTTATCTCTGTATTCTATCCAATAGTAGAGTTTGAACTACCGGTACTCTAGTACACGTTTCTGCAATCTCAACAGTTTTCTGTAAATTGCAGGTGGGAATTTCAAGTCGTGGCTAAATTTATTATTAAATATATATAAATCACTGTATTAGCGTATTTTGGAGAAAGTTAAGACAATTGCTGCATTGGCTACCACCTATGGAGTATAAACGATGTGATTAGTGGCAATGGTTTCTAAGAGCTTTTATTATGAACTTATGATACTTCTTATGACACTAAATTCTGAGTGGTGCAGGTAAAATTTGTCTGGTAATTTTCAATGTTGCAGTACAGGTATGCAGAAAAAGTTTCCAGCCCTGCAGAAACTTCAAAGTACTCCACTTTAAGTTGGAAGTTCGAACTGTTTAAGATGCCTGAAGGCCGCACAGTTTTTCATCAGTAGTACCCTGTAGGTGTTGGTTTAAATGCCTCCCCCGGGGATGCTGTGTTTGGTGTGAGGTGCATAGAAATTCTGGCTTTGATCTGGAGACCGCGTGGTGCAATCGATGATGATGACTTACCGAACCAGTCCATCCTTGAACCGCCCACACAAAACACATTACCCACGCTTAGCTACAGTCATCTGCACCCAGAGCAGACAATAAAAGACATGGGGAGTCGGATTAAAAGTGGGATGAAATGCATATATAGCAAGTAAATGGAATCAAACACTCTCTGTACAATGAATTAATCTGGAAAAAAGTAAAGTACATGTGTAGTAGAAAAAAATGTATGCACTAAATCAAACTGGGAATAAAATCCTGACTGTTAGGATGAATATTGTTATGTTTACAATTTTTTGTTAGTGTATTGACTAATGGTTGATAAGTGTGGTGGGTTTCTAAACATGCTCGACTCGATGGAGGTGTGGCTCTCCTAAATGTCCTATAAGGTCAGTCCTAAAACAAGATACCGCAAGCTTGATGTCCCATCTGAGAGGACGTGACTGGATTCTGTTAGGGACGACGTCCCTAACAGAATCTAGGTACTCATTTTTACCTGGGTCGAATGTGGTGCCTTTGTTTTCCCAAGGTTAACACCCTAAACCACAATCTTGACCATATCAAATTTCTACAAAGTTAGAAATAGTTCAAGTTCAGTTTAATACTTTATTTAGTAGTCAACCAGAGACATTTGATAAGTGTGACATATTGTCACATGTAGGTGTGTACGTGCAGTGGGCGGGGTACACAGGACGGGTACAAAGTAGAGAAAGGGGTGGGACTTGCCTACACCTGTCCCTCTCCCCAATCCATCTCACTTCCACCCCCTCCACCCCCACAGTAGCAATAGACCTGCCCGTTTGGAACCCCACCACGCTATAACTGTCTCTTTAGACCGTTAAACACCCGCCACAGTCGCTACTTCAACTGACATATAACCCCTGATGAATGATGGAAACCTATAAAGTAATTTTCTGCCACTTTTGCTGTCTGGAAGGGGGAGGGGCTTTGCAGGCCTGGTCACGCGTGTTCGGGACCGCCCACGCCTCCCCCGTAACTATTCCGTGGAGTGATCGTTTTTCAGGGTCAGGAACGGCACAAACGATTAGTTTTTCGGTTAGAGGTACCGACCTGGCTCGCTGAGCATGCAGAACTCGCCATCGCCGCAGTAGATCGCCTGTAAAGCCTGAAGTTCGTCTGCAACATCTTCTGGAAGTCCTCCTCCCGCCATTTCTGGGGTTTAAACCGTTTTAACCACCGCAACAAAACAACAAGGAGTTCATTATTCAGTAGACGAATGCAAATGTTCCAACTCTAAGTTAAGCTGCTAATTTAAAACAATCAATAATGTTTATTTGTTTATTTATTGTAGGTGTGTGATTCAAAATGGTGTTTTTGAGTATAACAAATGAATATGAGGTATGTATTTGTTACGTTTTGATGTTGATCCAGAAATGGAAGAGTTCACATATAAGGTTACCATAGGGGCGCTACTAATATTATGAATATTATTCAGCCAACAAGCAATTGCTTTTACGGCAGGTTAATATCACTTTTTATTTATTATTCACATTTAAAATGTTTACATATTCACTACTAGAACTTTAACGTCCTAGGTTTTCAGTACATATTATTAATAATTAAAAATTTCGACCTTTCCGCTATATGGTACATTCCACCTAGGTTTGTTGGACTTTGATGCTTGATGTCCAAGTCTAGCTTTGCAAATGTGGAATTTGCAACTGTATAAAGCCACTCAAGTAAAGAAAGTGTGATCAAAAATCATGCCGTGCTATCAATACTAAGTAAATCGGTGACATTACAAGAACAGCGATTTGAAGCCAAGAAACGATGAATTTGCCAACAGAAAGTGGGGTAGATGTGGTCACCGTTAGTTTGTGGGTTTTGTTGGTTCTGGTTGTGGTCAAAGTGGTAAATTTGGTGAAAAATTTTCAAGATCATGTTCGAGCTTTGGAGAAGTTTCCAGGACCACCGCGACACTGGCTACTAGGACACGTACACAAGGTAGGCAGCTGTCTAACCTCTAAAGCATTACTACATGTAGTACTGGCACCTATCAAAATGAACCAAAGGGGGAATTTGAACAGAGCAATTTGTAGAGTAACATTAGATATTCGCTGGGGGCGCAACGTTGGGGTGGTGGACCTATTGGATTTGCGTAATCACTATCAGAACGCAGCCTAGAGGGTTTCCGCATGTGGTGCACAGCGGAGCGCGGGGTGGGCGTGTGCCGGGGACGGGCTAACCAAGGCCCACATGCATCTACAAACTCTCCGCAACGCTTAGAGTCTGGCCCCGAGGGTACATTAAATAGAGAAGAGTAGAGAAGATCCTTTGACATGGTAGGAACTCTTGTTTCCAATTGATTCCCTAAAAAAACTTCATGTTTAAATGACAGATCGTTATTTCTCTAAAATTTGGATTGTACATACAGAACTATACTACTGGTTCCTTTGATATAAAAGGCACTAACACAGACCGCCATTGTTTTCAGCTCTATCCACCAGATGAGACAGGAGCTCTAAAGTTTACAAATGAACTGACAGCGGAGTACGTGTACGCCTTTCCTCTCTGGTTTGGACCAATCGGGTTCCTGAACACCTGTCACCCAGAGTACGCTAAAACTATCCTGGCAACAACAGGTAACTAGGACATGTACATCAATTCATTTGTCATTGAGTGTCAGGAGAGGCAGCCTACAGGACTGGAAACCCTTTTTTTCTGCTTACCTGTAACCAGGGGCAGGTAACACTAAAGATAGTACCTGCGCCAGACATATTTTACCACTCAAAATTTTAATAGTAAGTATGGATCATACTAAAAACTGTTCAGATACAATTGTCATTATTTATTTTATAGTAAAATTATACTTCATAGGTGGTAACAGTCAATGCAGCAAATAACTAGATAGGTAACATTTGCAAAGCAAATGCATAATGTATACCTTCACATATGGTCTGCTCTGGTAATTCTTACTGAAACTCATAATCCCTCCTGCTATAAAATTGCAACATGATCTAGCCCAACACCAATTACCATGGTGACAGACGTATGGTTCAGGTCATTGACCTTATTTTTTTGGAGAAGAAAAAGTAGAAGAAACAGAGCAAAAACAATATGTTCTCCTTCTCTAGTATACTTTCTCATACAAAAAAAGTCATGTATTTTTCTTTTTTTCAGAACCAAAGGATGAGGTAGTATACAGATTCATCAAGCCATGGATTGGTAGGTATTTAAATGTCCAATCAAAGAGATTCATACACACACACATGTGATTAAGATGACACAGAGACTCAGAGAGCTATAAGAGTAGTGCTGATTGGCCAGGAACATTGCCATACAGTATAAGGTAATCTCCAAGCAGATCAGTTGGTGGCTGCAATACAACTGGCAGGGCAGTATCCAATACACCACATGTGAGTGCTGGCAGAGGTCAGGCTCTGCCACGGACATAAAAAAGACACCATTACCACAAAACAAAGCCAAATAAAACACCAAAAATAAGCCGATTAGCCTGAACCTCTGCTTGGAGAGTAGTACTGTAGTGTATAGTTTTCTAGTCGTCAACAGTGGATGTTTATTCTGTGTTTGATAAGGCTTTGTATTACACATTCGTTTTTTCTGGAAGGGACTGAAAAGTTGTACACACTTTTCCTCAGGTGACGGTCTCCTGGTGAGCCATGGTCAGAAGTGGTTCCGTAACCGCCGCCTGCTGACGCCAGCGTTCCATTTTGGCGTTCTACAGCCGTACACACGCATCTTCTCCGACTCTACCAACATCATGATGGTGAAACTCATTTCTGTTTCCCCTGATCAAATTTTTTTCCTAATCTTTCTGTGGTCTGTTGGACAGATTTTACTTTCTATATATATATATGGCCTTAAAACATAGGGTGAATGATTCAGTCCCTCGAAATAAAGGTTTGTGATTTTGTATTGGTCCATTCATGTTTAACAGGCCAAGTGGAAGCAGCAGGGTGCTGGTGCCCTGATCAGCGTGTTTGATGACGTGAGTCTGATGACACTGGACAGCATGCTGAAGTGTGCACTGACTGTGGACAGCAACTGTCAGGTGGACAGGTGGGGACAGCACACCGTTTGTCAAGAACTGTGTACTTGAAGCTATTACTGGTTGTGTAATACAGATATTATACAATAGAAAAAGAATACATGTAGTTTCAATATAGGCTACGAGTTGCTTATCACGATGGTCTTAAAATCCTACTGTCTCAGCCTAGGAGCACTAGTAACAGCGACCTATTTGTACAGACTCGTGTTGACACGTTTGACGCCAGGCGTCGGAAGTTGTTGTGTTCTTTTGCTTCTCGTCTGTTAGCGTCCGAGAACGCAATTGTCAAACTGCTGCTCCGCTCGGAGACCTTCTGCTCCAGTCCATTCTGGAGCCATTACTGTAGACTGGTCCGCCCACCGTAAGGGCTCGACAGTCTTTTATCTATTTGTACCTACTTAGATGTTTTATTTTTAGATGTGTTTGTGTAATGTTGTCTGTCTGTGCTATGGGCCATTGAGCCTGAAATAAACAATAAATAAATAAATAAATATAGATAAAGTTGCGTAAGGCTGCCCTGGCTTCATGAAAATTCAATAGATAATTACACCAGTTAAAAGGCTAATTTACTTGGCCAGTGTTTCGCAACTTGGCAGCAGTTTCACTTGTACACTACAGTACTGGCATTTGCCTTTCCTTATTGTTTTCTTCAGGAAACAGAACCCATACGTTTCTGCTGTGTTTGGCCTGGGGAAGTTGGCTGTACAGCGTTTCCTGTTCTTCCCTCTGCACAGTGATCTCATCTACTACTTCACCCCTATGGGATACAGGTTGGTTCAGTCCAAGGATTCTTCAAGCTTCTGTACTTTACAATCTGGGGGTACTTTGGAATAGCCCATTTCACATATAGGGTTGATTTTATTGGAAAAGATGGGATCTAAATGTACATTGTAATACATCATACTGCAGCTGATATTCACTTTCTAGTCTGTGGTGCTCATGTCAATGTCTTTGTAACATCACTTGTGTGCAACTATTATACGATCCAGTAACATTATGTAAACACTTGTAAAGATATAGCATGCTAGAAGCAGTCTGTATCCAGATGTCATTGTCTTAAATGTTACGTTTGTTAACTTTTAGTTTTAGGCTGCTTTATATTGCAATCTTTTTGAAATATACACTGAAGTTCTTTAGTCTGAAGCTGTGATGTGTTTTCTTCAAATTAAACTATTCATAATTTTGATAGAATATTTATACCAAAACACATAACAGAAGTTTATGACTTGATCCCCGTAGGTTCAGGAAGCTGTGCCGTCTGGTGCACCAACACTCGGAGACGGTCATCAGAGAACGTCGCCAGGCACTGAAACATCAGGAAGGGCACCAGGACTCACCAAACCAGGGGAAGAAATATCTGGACTTCCTCGACATCTTACTCAAGACAAAGGTCCAAAAATGTCCTTCTTGAGAGCCCTCTAGCAGGATAGAGTGTCCCCTCCAAATTAATTTTATCTGGTTGGTAAAACTCTAACCTAGCTCCATGATCTGACACCTGAATGACAAAACGTGCAATTGGTTTTCCAACATTGATATTGAAAATATAAGTGAAAAAAAGATAATCCCTACCTACTGACCCTAATTTTTTCAGGACTGAAATAGGAAACATAACATTTTTCCCAAGGCCTAAGGTAGAATTATTTATGGAACTTTTACACTTAGAGACATTTTCTCATACATATTGATGTTGCTCATTATATCAGGATGAAGATGGAAACGGTCTGAGTGATGCTGAGATCCGAGACGAGGTGGACACATTTATGTTCGAGGGACACGACACGACGGCCAGCGGTCTGTCCTGGACACTGTACAACCTGGCACGACACCCAGAGTACCAGGAACGCTGCCGACAGGAGGCACGCAACGTGCTGGAAGGGAGATCCGAGGTCACCAGGTAGGTAGACCAGGCTTTATGAGCACGTCGGCAGAACGTACTGTGCCTGCGCGAAACAGTGATTTTTCATGGTTTTTGTTGGATGTTTGGTTAATGTTGTTAATGCTATTGTAGGAGCCATGGTGTGAACATACCAAGATGATTTGTAATTTAAACACTGAACTTTGAACTTTTAATCAAAGCTCTGCATCGATAAATGGAAAAAATGTAACAATTCTGAAGAAAAGGGACTTCCTTCAACTGTTTGGGCCAAAATATGAGCATTTTGGAGTTGATTGTTTTTGTGATGTAGTGACTTGACATGTTTTTTTTTGCAATTCAGAAAAAAATGAAGCGGCGAATCCGAGAACCAACAAATTAAATTGGTGTCGCCTAATGTTAGAGTTGTACATCTGTCTCGTCTCTTGCTTCGTAACCCCTCCAGTCCTGACCTGCCCAAGCTGTCCTACATCACCATGTGTATAAAGGAGAGTCTGAGGCTCCACACCACCGTCCCCGGGGTCGGCAGGAAACTCACTAAGGAGATCACCTTCCCAGATGGGAAAACCCTCCCAGCAGGTCAGACAGTCAGCTTTAAGACAGTGATTTCATTTACTGGTCAATTTTATGGTCATTTTTTAATGCCTACAGTAGTAAGATGAATTAACTCTATCCCATAGCATACTGATATCTGTGAGGCAAAAACGTGATGTTGCTGACAGAAAATAGGCTGGTGGTACCAAAAAATAAAGGGACTCCTCACGTAGCTTGTATTGAGGAGCTTTTTCAAACACTTCAAGTATATGAAATGGTGATAAAAATGTGCCAAGAAATAGAAATGGCAGCAAATGTCACGATCAGACAGATTTCCTCTTCCAGAATAATTATGTTATCATGTACTGTTATTCATTCCTACTTATACTTTTGATATGCAGAAAGATTTTTCCTTTTTGTAATTTTTTTCTTCTCATCTATACCAGGTAGTAACGTTGGGGTCTCTCCCTGGAACATCCACCATAACCCACATGTCTGGAAGGATCCAAAGGTTCGCTGGATATTACTATCAAATGTTAACATGGTTGTGCACTTCCTGATATGTTGCTTGGAGTATAAGATCGAGAATTAGAGTCTCAAGAAATCTGTTTCCCTGTTTTTGATGATACTGTTGGTCAGGTCTGATCAACACATTAGACTTTTTCAGATTTAGATATTTAGGAAAGAAAAATTCATATTCCTAATGCAACTAGGCAAACCACGCACTATACGCTTCATCTGTTCTTGAATTTGCAATTGTATTCATGCATTCATTCATTCACTCATTCATTTATTCATTCATTCACTCATTCATTCATGCATTCATTCATTCTTTTGTTTGTTTCCTTAGGTGTATGATCCCTCCCGCTTCCTACCAGAGAACAGTAAGGGTCGACATAGCCATGCCTTCCTGCCCTTCTCCGCAGGCCCCAGGTCAGCTATATGGGTGATACCTTAAAGTTTTTTTCACCAATATATTTGTTACCATGTGATATAGAGATGTAGTGTAACAACTATTGCGACCATCTCTATGACCTTCTTCAGGGCAACAATGACTGGTTCTGGTTCGTAATGCAGCTACATTTTTGGAGATGTCAGTGTTGGCCTGAAGGTTGTATGATAGAAGGTGACAGATGGTCACAAAATGTTGGACGTAAAAGCCCACTGGTTGTTGAATGAATAACCATCTAATATACAGTCTCTTGCCAACCTAATGAAATTATTCACAGACTGAAGTAACTGTACTGTCTGCATGTGTTCACCCAGGAACTGTATTGGCCAGCACTTTGCCATGAACGAGCTGAAGACAGCCGTGGCTCTGATCATGCAGAGTTTCCGACTGACTGTTGATGAGAACCACATCCCCACGGCTGCCAACTCCCTGGTACTGAAGGCTGCTGAACCTGGGCTCTTCCTGAAAGTCATGGCTTTAGATTGAGAGGAAAGGAAGAAATGAAAATTCTCTCACTAGTACTCTCTCACTGTTGATTCAGGGATTTGATTTGACTTATTGGAATTGTAACAGTACAAAACATGTGGGACACAGGCAGCTGTTGCTGGTGTTTTGTCCCACACATTACAAACACATACAAAAATATAATTAGATTTGGTGCTTACTAATAAAAGGACAATAACAACAAAGTACATCTTAACTACTGCTATGTATCAGTCCACTAGCTTGATAGCTACTTCCTGTCGATATGAGCTCTAGACCATAACTATGTGCACAATAAATTAGAGATTGTTAGTATATTACCACATAATTCCACCAATACAAATGTGTTGTACTGTTATGGTCTTGCTTGAAAATGAATGGCAAATTGATGGCCAGACCTACCCAGAATTGCTAGAGTCACACTTAGCAGTGTGGTCCATGAATTTACACATTAATCATGTCTTAAGAGGTATGGTAAGCACTGGAAATACTAAGTACTTCACAATATATTTGATCGGCCCATTTACAGAAGTACAATGAATAGTGACTTATCAATGTGCTTTGAGAAAAATATCTGAGACCTGTACCAGAAAATGTTAACGTTAGTTCTGTGCCAAATACATGTAGATACCTAAAAATATAAGTTAAGTTTGGAATGCTGGTTATGATTTAAAATTTGTCAAATCATTGGCGGTATGTTTCAGTGTGATTTGTGTAAGGAAGTGAAATATTAAAGACTATCAGAATTCCAAGAAGAGTGTTATATATTTTATTGCTTAGACCAGAGCATGCAACAGAATATAATAATAAATGCACTCCAGGCCAGTTCCACAGGTAAATGTGACCCTGCAGTTTGGAGACAAATCGCCAGACGCCACTGCTGCACGGTCCATCTGCCGGATGGTGTCAATACGTTTCACCGACGTCAGGGCGCTTCGCAGTCAAGAGAGCGCCTATTTCCAACTCAAACCCTAATAATAAACTTCAATTCTAATCATAGAGATAACCACAACAACGGCTAAAAACATGAGACGGCGAAACATAACAGGAAATGTTACTGTGTGTGACTTAATTTAGTATTTTGTACAAAGGTTCATCACAAAGGCCAGTCTAACAATAACTTAGCGATAGCGATAATCATGACAACAAAATTTCAGCCAAAAACATGGGACGGCACACCACAACAGGAAACCGCAATTTCTGAAATTTTGTTGTCATGATTATCGCTATTGTTAGAATTAATTAGTGTTAGAGTATGAAATAGTCGTTCCCTTGACTGCAATACGTCCTGACGTCGGCGAAACGTCAGGACGAAACCTGGCCAATGGACCGTGTAGCAGTGGCCTCTGGCGATTTGTCTCCAAACTGCAGGGTCACATTGCCCTGTGGCTGACGTAACTATGACGTAACTGTAGTAGTGCAGTTAGTTGCACACTGGCCTTTGTGATGAACTTTTGTACAAAATACCAAATTAAGTCACTCACAGCAACATTTCCTGTTATGTTTCGCCGTCCCATGTTTTAGCCTTTGTTTTGGTTATCGCTATGGTTGGAATTGAAGTTATGATTAGGGTTAGAGTTGGAAATATGCGTCCCATTCACTGCAAAGCGCCCTGACGTCGGCGAAACGTATTGACACCGTCCGGCAGAGAGTAAGGGGTGACGCGAGTACTGGAGTAGGGCACGAGAGGCGGGCACAATAGGCGGTCACCACAGGCGGACTGTACCATTTCATGTGCGGGGGAGGGGCAATATCTGAAATTCAATGCCGTGTCCCGTTACACACATTTTTGCCTACTCGCTGCCCCTCTATTACATTACAAAGCACGGAAACATAATTTTTTTGCCAAATATTTTTGGGAGTATTTTGTAAATTACGTAAATTATGATCATATCCGATAGGATTACAATGGGGCATTTGCAATGTGTCAAGCAGGTTTGATTTAACCTCATGATTATATGGAGAAATGGAAGCTTTTCCGAAGGGTAACATTTTAGGAAATTTTATGATTGTTAACATACATATGCCAGATATATCATATACAATCATATACATGTACAAGAAACTCCGTCATGTACTATATATAAGAATGGGGGGGGGCACGAGAGGCGGAAGATTAAAGCTTTCTCCTAACGTGGAAAAGAACATTTCTGCTCCGACTTTTCTGGCTTTTCTAGCTATCCTGCACACAAGCAATCTACAATTTCCACTCATTGGTTTTTAATGAATGTGCTTAATTAGGCTAAAGAGCACATCCTGTTATCAGAACGGGGGGGGGGGTGGTCACGAGAGGAGGAAGATTAAAGCTTTCTCGTAACGTGGAAAATGACATTTCTGATCCGACTTTTTTGGGCTTCTCAAAGCCTGTGAGGTCTTGTCTTCTCATCAGGCATAAAACACGCAGCCTGTGAGGTCTTGTCTTCTCATCAGGCATTAAACACGCAGCCTGTGAGGTCTTGTCTTCTCATCAGGCATAAAACACACAGCCTATGAGATCTTGTCTTCTCATCAGGCATAAAACACGCAGCCTGTGAGGTCTTGTCTTCTCATCAGGCATAAAACACGCAGCCTATGAGGTCTTAACTTCTCATCAGGCATAAAACACGCAGCCTTTGAAGTCTTGTCTTCTCATCAGGCATAAAATACGCAGCCTGTGAGGTCTTGTCTTCTCATCAGGCATAAAACACGCAGCCTATGAGGTCTTAACTTCTCATGAGGCATAAAACACGCAGCCTGTGAGGTCTTGTCTTCTCATCAGGCATAAAACATGCAGCCTATGAGATCTTGTCTTCTCATCAGGCATAAAACACGCAGCCTATGAGGTCTTGTCTTCTCATCAGGCATAAAACATGCAGGCTATGAGGCCTTCCTTGACCATCCTACGGTCTCACAGCGCCATAGCGATATTAGCCAGAACTGCAACATGTACCGTTGGTGTGGTCACAGAGTTAGGCAAAACTTTAGGGAGACCGTTAAGGCGGTCACAGAGTTAGGCAAAACTTTAGGGACACCGTTGGGGCGGTAACAGAGTTAGGCAAAACTTTAGGGACACCGTCGGGGCGATCACAGAGTTAGGCAGAACTTAAGCGAGACCGTTAAGGTGGTCACAGAGTTAGGCAAAGCTGTGAGACCGTAGGATTTCTGCACAGAACAATTTCTGCACCTTTCTCTAGTATTGTGTAGCACTACTTTGTACCCGTACGGGGTTCGCCCATGAATACTGTGTTGTGCGGTCGGAACCATTTAAATCTCACGAACATGCAAATGAGGTAATTTGTACCATTTAAATCTCACGAACATGCAAATGAGATAATTTTTATGAAGATCACGCCGTGTGGCGCTACACATGTCCATAAAACGTGACTCAAATGCTAAGTTATATATTTTGAAGTTTCTTCCGGTTCTTAAGAAGCCAACACGACCAATTGTACCGTGTCGGCATCAAACACAACCGGGCCGCCATGTTTGTTCACATGTTGAATAATAAACGTAGCGTGCCTTTCGTAGTAACATTCCCGAAAACGCCGCCGAAATTGCGCTTTCCTGTTATGATTTTTTGCTGAAATTGTGTTGTTACGATTATCGCTATTGTTGTAATTAATAAATGTTAGAGTATGAAATAGTCGTTCCCTTGAGTGCAAAACGTCGAAACCTGGCCGATGGACATGTGTAGCAGTGGCCTCTAGCGATTTGTTCCAAACTGCAGGGTCACATTTACTTTTTAGTACCTGTGGCTGACGTAACTATGACGTAACTGTAGTACAAAATGTAGTACACAACTTACAGTACAAGTATCAAAGCGCAAATCTACGCCGACTGAACACGCACCATAATTCAACTTTTACAGTCTCAAAACCTGACGTATTCCTCTAACATTTACCACAGGTTCCATCTCGATGCCACGCACAGAACAATTTCTGCACCTTTCTCTAGTATTATGCAGCACTACTTTGTACCCGTACGGGGTTCGCCCATGAATACTGTGTTGTGCGGTCAGAACCATTTGAGTCTCACGAACATGCAAATGAGGTTAAATTGTACCATTTAAATCTCACGAACATGCAAATAAGATAATTTTTATGCAGATCACGCCGTGTGGCATTACACATGTCCATAAAACGTGACTCAAATGCTAAGTTATATATTGTGTAGTTTCTTCCGGTTCTTAAGAAGCCAACACGACCAATTGTACCGTGTCGCGCACCAAACACAACCGGGCCGCCGTGTTTATTCACATGTTGAAGAGTATATGTAGCGTGTCTTTCGTAGTAACATTCCCGAAACCTGGCCGAAATTGCGGTTTCCTGTCATGGTTTACCGTCCCATGTTTTTAGCTGAAATTGTGTTGTTATGATTATGGCTTTTGTTAGAATTTATAATTTTTAGAGTATGAAATAGTCGTTCCCTTGAGTGCAAAACGTCCTGACGTCGACGAAACGTCAGGACGAAACCTGGCCGATGGACAGTGTAGCAGTGGCCTCTAGCTAGCGATTTGTTCCAAACTGCAGGGTCACATTTACCTGTGGCTGACGTAACTATGACGTAACTGTAGTAGTACACAACTTACCGTACAAGAATCAAAGCGCAAATCTACGCCGACTGAACATGCACCATAATTCAACTTTTACAGTCTCAAAACTGACGTATTCCTCTAACATTTACCACAGGTTCCATCTCGATGCCACGCACAGAACAATTTCTGCACCTTTCTCTAGTATTGTGCAGCACTACTTTGTACCCGTACGGGGTTCGCCCATGAATACTGTGTTGTGCGGTCAGAACCATTTAAATCTCACGAACATGCAAATGAGGTAATTTGTACCATTTAAATCTCACGAACATGCAAATGAGATAATTTTTATGAAGATCACGCCGTGTGGCACTACACATGTCCATAAAACGTGACTCAAATGCTAAGTTATATATTGTGTAGTTTCTTCCGGTTCTTAAGAAGCCAACACGACCAATTCTATCGTGTCGCGCACCAAACACAACCGGGCCGCCATGTTTGTTCACATGTTGAATAGTAAAAGTAGCGTGTCTTTTGTAGCAACATTCCCGAAACCTGACCGAAATTGCGGTTTCCTGTTATGGTTTACCGTCCCATGTTTTTAGCTGAAATTTTGTTGTTATGATTATGGCTTTTGTTAGAATTAATTAGTGTTAGAGTATGTAATAGTCATGTACTTTTATATATAAGAATGGGGGGGGGGCGGTCACGAGAGGCGGAAGATTAAAGCTTTCTCCTAACGTGGAGAAGGACATTTCTGATCCGACTTTCTGGACTTTTCTAGCTATCCTGCACACAATCTACAATTCCCTATTATTAGTTTTTAATGAATGTGCTTAATTAGGCTAAAGAGCACTGCCTCTTGTCAGAATTGGGGGGGGGGCGGTCACGAGAGGCGGAAGATTAATCCGCTAGATGCCGCTCGTGAGTCGTGAGGGGTCATGTTCCAGATTATTCTACTACAGCAGTAGGTAGCACTTTGAGTTATAGTATAAGAACAGGTTTCACAGTTCTAAATGTTGTCATTTCCCCCTAAATGTATCTTTTCCTTCAAAATAACGACTCTTGGAAGAGAATGGTCACTACACTGGCAGAAAAGTTGTCCTTATTAGCAGAAATGTTCGTAATTATAACCCCCTAAGTTTCAGTCGGCTAACCCAATGACCTTTGGCATAGCGATGTTCGGACACTTCTGCCATGTGGTAGGTAAAAAATCGCTTATTTATCTTTAAATATGGGTACTTGTTTAAATTTTACTGTGGTACGGAGTTTTTACATGTCAATTTAATACTATGATGAGAAATGTTTGTCACTGCTTCATCGGTTGGAGTTATGAATGATGTTTTATAGTAACAAGGGGGAGGGGGGCATTTTTTGTCCGTGCACGGAAGAGTATGGAGAATCCCTGGCGAGCTTTTAGAGGTCGTCTTCTGTCTGTAGCGTTGTGTAGAGTCCTTCAGAATGATAGAAGAGTCGCTGTGACTAGGATAATGCATTATATAAGCATCACTTCACTGGTTAGCTGTTACAACGAAGGAGGTTTAATCATAGAGGTAGAATTATATTGGCCCCTCTAGAACCTCCTTGGTTTCATCAAGTCAGCTTCAAAGATCATAAAAAAATTACTTTGACAGAAAGAGTGGAAGGGGAAAGAGACATGGCTTTCGAATGTCACAACAGAACTATTTCTACAACAGAAACGTAAATATTTACCAGAGCCTCACATTTGACCGGTCCAGTTATAATAATTATAATTTCTCCCCAGATCACACCATGCCCTGGTCCCGTACTGCTGTGCTGAGTCTGTATAAGAAGCTGCTGAGAGAAGGCCGTTCCCTCCGCTACACTGACCAGGACTTCTACAGGGCCAGGATTCAGCACGAGTTCCGCAAGTACCAACACGAGGACGACCCTGAACAGAGAGAGTTCCAACTGAAGGTCTGTGGACTTCCTAGGAAACTACCACACCAGTACTGTCATTAATGTTTAACTGACATTAACATTAATGTGTATAATTCATTATTTCTTGTTAAGTCCTTCTGTTATTTCTATCTTAATTTGGTCAGGTTTACCTGTATCAGTGCATGTAATAGAGTTGAAATAAATTTTAAAAAAAAAACAGTTGATAAAGTTTTCAACAGTAACAAATTTGTCAACAGTTAAATCAGACTTAAATCTTGTTTTCTCTTTCAGAAGGGGCAGAAGTTTCTGGAAACAAAGCTGGGTGGTTTGTGCTGAGCACCTCTCAAATAGCTACAGAGAGATATTTTCAACAGTTAAAAAAAACGAACTTTCCAGTTACTTTAATCTGACATTTTAGAAAATTGTGTTTGACATATACTATAGTCCAAGAAAAGAGAAGATTTCTGCAAAGAAGAATTTTCAATCAGGAGACATCTTAGAAAACCAACATGGCTAAGAACAAGAAGCAGCGAGGCAGGAAGAAGTTCGACTACTCCAAGAACAGGAAACGGCAGTGGAAGAAGTCCAAGAAGAAGGTGAAGATCGGACACCGCGGCGTGGAGGCGGCCTGGGACGACCGCAAGTCTGTCAGTCAGAACCTGAGCGACATGGGGCTGTCACACAACGTCAACAAGACTATTCCATTCCCTAAGACCAGGGACATCATGCCCAATGTCTACCAGGTATGTGTCTTAACTCTCAGTTTAGTGAAACGTTGGAGGTAGAAAAACTACCTCCATGGTGAAACTAAAACTGATATTCTATAATATTAGGAACTAAATGTTTGTATTTAAGGTTTGTATGTAAATGATGATTCATGATGCATTTTTTGTCTGCATATTCAAGAAGATGTCTATGAATTGTCTTCATAAAGTGACAATAGATCATCATGCATGTGTTTCAGAAATTAAGGACACTGCAGTTTTCTTATGAACTGCTAGGAGGCACTTATGATCCATGTAAAGATTTCTCATCAACGGCCACTTGATTCATTACTTATCACAAAAGACGTTTCACTAATCATTGCATGTACATTTTTTCAGGATGAAGGGATGGAAGTGGACGTTTCTCCTCCCAAAAAGACAAAGAAAGCGAAGAAGCTCCACGTGATGAAACAGCTGGAAGAGGAAGCGAGCACTCTGCAGGAGGGCACACCGCGTCTGTCCTCCGAGATGGTTCGCTACTGCACGTACATGATGGACAAGTACGGCGAGGATTACGTCGCCATGGCGCGGGACGTGAAGAATTACTACCAGGACACGCCCAAACAGATCCGCAGGAAGATCCTGAGGTTCAAGTCCATCCCTGAACACTACCAGGAATATCTCCAGCAAAAGGAAACGGCAATGACTTCATTGAAAGGACTATCTTAAATTTTTTATTCACATTTATTTTTAGAGGATTAGAGGATAGGACAAAAAGTATAGCTTACTTGTTGAGGCCGTCTCCTCTGCACACCTTCAGATGAATGTAACATCAACAAAAAACAGGAAACAAGGTACAAATAACAATAAAGAGAAAACAAAGAAGTACAAAATCTTGAGGGTTATACCATTAAGAAGAGTCAGTTAATTGACTTCTTTCTCATTACTCAATCTACACTACATGTTATGATAAGAATTCCTATTGTATCATTAAGGATTTATAGAATTTTCACACAGATGACAATAATAACAATTTGCATGCAGTATTTTGTGTAGCAACATGTTTGTAAGTTACATACTGATCAGGAATACCGAAAAATTATAGAACCAAGGATAAGATTGTAGGTATTTTCCTAAATTAAGATATGATTCTAGAGAGTATACAGGGGAGATTCTGATACATTAAACATCGGCACTGCAAGTTTTAATTTGTCAGTCATCGCTTCTGTTTAGTCTACCATGTTTTCCACCTATATATGTCCGGTTTATGTTTTATTGAACAAAACAAAAATTTGAATATCGGGAGAGAAAAAGTGGTATTACTGTGCGTTAAAATTAAAACCAAAGTGGACACATTTAAAAGGTCAGAAGGGAAAGAAAACAGTGTGAACGGCCAGTCCACAATCCTGTCCTATATCCGAGTGGTTCACTCTGCGGTAGAAAAACAACATCGTGCCATGGCGACTGAGCCAGGCTTGAGTACCCACAAAATGCGCGGGATTTCTGCCGACTGTTTTCCACTCCCGTGTATTCTCTGACGTCTTTGTCGGTAAGTCCGTTTAATACCTGCCGCCCTTTCAAAGCGGTAGTTTCCATTTTCGCCCGAACAGGTAGCCCCCACTGACGCACAGAAGTGGCAGTGACGTCGCCGTGGTGTATTCGGGTCAAAAAATAAAACGTACGATATGAGTCTACTGCTCCAGGGATCGTGTCTCAAGTTCCTACTCGGTTGGTTAGGGAATTATGTTATTGTCGTTTATTTGGCACAATATCGGGGTAGTTCAAAACAATACTTCTGTTTTTCAGAATAATATTTCCTTTCCGTTGTCTAAGAACGTTAAGTTCTTTTCCTTTATTCTTCGAGATTAAAGAATGAAACTGCGATAAAGTCGGAAACAAAAATACAAGTACTACTCATGAAGTAGCTAGCTCCTTTATCAAGAAAGAAATTCAAGAAGCACAACGGGAAAAACAAAGCGTGATATAGAAATCTGCGCTAAAATAAAGACAACGATGTCTGCTTATTACTTTTTTACCTGTTTTGGGGAATTTTTTATCAATCATTATTTTTCAGTGGTAGTACATGTATCTTTTTCAACTTCACCAGCCAAACGGTAACTGCCTGGCAAATTATTCAAATGGATACTGCTGTGCTTGGCCAATTTGATACTGTCTTGCAGCCACCAAAAGATCTGTTTGGAGATTGAGAACGACACAAACGTAGAACAGAAACTTTAGAGACCATCCCCTACAGCGGAACTAGTGTTACGCCTGGCAGGGATGTAGGAAAGTCGGCAGCCGGTGCGGGGAAGGCAGGCGTGGGGTACGGAAATTAGATTGCGTACGAGAAACACTGCTACAGGCTAGGAGATATTAAACCCCGGTTAGGCCATCTGTTGATTTGATAAAGGAAGTTATAGGTTTGATACGTCCGCGTTTCCAAATCGTACAAAGCATGCCTGCAAAATAGCAAATAGATTTCATAATGAAAGCAACGATTTTTGCCAACATTTTTTGTTCGCACACTCGCATCAGTTAAATCAAGGACATTATACAGTATACTGTATAATGTCCTTGGTTAAATCAATCCCATCTCATAGACTAAAATGAGTGTCCAAAGTTAACCAAACTACTTGCTTTTCTGCAAACACTTGATTGAAAACCAAAATTCACCAAAAAGCACACTTTTGAAACGTCAATCGTCTGACAGCGACCTTTCAACGTCCTTGAAGACTGGCCGTTTGAGAGAGGATGACAATTTCCCCGCCCAGTCGTGCGTGGTGGAAAATCCTTTCAGCCGGCGGAGGAAATCCCGCACAGATCACACCTGTATGGTTCAACAGGTATTCCCGCTATTGTTACCTGTTGTACTGCAGCCGGACAGCTATTGTACGGGGAACAATGACGTGTCCACAGAACGGGGGCTATTGTCTGGTGGAATGTTTTATTAGAATAGTGCAATTCATTCAGATGTAGCGTCTGTCACAGAAATTAGCTAGCCTCCTTTGCAGGCGTTCCCGGTGCGGCCGTTTTTTGGGTGTATGTGTTCACACTGAACTAGCAAAATCGCGATCCAGGTAAATTAATCTCCAAGCAGATCCTAGGGTGGCAAAAGACAGTATCAAATTGATCAGAAAATGTATACTACCTGGCCAATTTGATAGTGGCTTTTCATACCCTAGGATCTGCTTGGAGATAACGGGTAAATAGCATACCTCACATCTGGTCCAAGTGCTACACGTTCCTGCTGCCCCAAGCACGAACCAACCAAGCTAGAATCCTTGATAGTTTGATAACAAGACACAAGGTCTTTCTGGCCGATTTCTGATCTTTCCAACCGCTTCCCGGAGCCTGAAAGAGGCTAGATACTAGTACGCTCCACACGCATCTACACGGTCATCAACTTTTCCAATGGATCATTATGTACCGTTTCTTTGCCTCATACATTTAAGATCAAACACCCGCTTACATCTTTAAATAGTTCACTCTTACATAACCATGTTATTACTGAGGAGTAGGTATTGAAGCACTGCTAGCGTTACATGTATATTTAGACATCCTTTCACCAAGGAGCTTAAAAATCATTAAGCGCCTTGCTTTTCACCTTTCACCTACCCATTGGGAGTACAACGCTGTATCAGGTGTCTGAGCTTATGGTTCGTCTAGTTACTACAATATACAGGCTTTGCTGACTTCGATTCCTTCCTAATTGTGCAATTAAGGGAATAAGAGGAAGCAGACAATAGCCTCTACCAGGCGTCGGAGGCGGTTGGAAAGAATAGAAATTGGCTAACTAGACAGATAATGTGCCAAGGATGCGGCAAATTTACTCCTGAGAGGACCCGACGTGTTATCTGTCTCTTAGACAAATTCTGAGTGAGTGAGTGAGTGAGTGAGTGAGTGAGTGAGTGAGTGAGTGAGTGAATGAGTGAGTGAGTGAATGAATGAAATGTTCGGTATGAACATTTATTTGTTTATTTATTCAAAATTGTAACGCGACAATACAAGGAGTGCACTAGGCAGCAAGTATGCTGATAGCGTGCACACCTGCACAAAATCAACAAATACAAACATTACATGTAACAGAACCATTTGTATCCTATCTGCTTCATATTAATCCGTGTAAGAAACGAAAAAAAAAGACGAAAACGACGAAAAACGAACAGAAGAAAGCGTCATTCATAATTTCTTATTATAGCATACATGTATGCGTCTTTCGTAAGAATCCTACGGTGTGTCGTCCCGCCCCAGATTGTTCTCCACCCACCGTCCTCTGTTCCTATGCCTCCCCTCAAAATATTTACACCTAAACAAACGTTTCATCACCGGCCAGGCGACAGGTCCATTCGGAGAGTGGTGTTTATTTTGGCCGACCGTAGTCTCTACCAGACTCCTTTGCAGGCTGAATAAATAGTAGAAATCGGCCTAACTCGAAAGGACGGTTTGTCGGCCATAGAGGACCATAGAAGGTATTATCCGCTCAGGTAAATTGTAAATTGGACCCTCTAACCTGTATCAAAACTCCCACCCGCCCGGAGGCCTGCACACGAAGCTACAATGTAACCTCTCGATGGAAGCACGCGAGAAATGGTGACAACTACGCGACGAATTATGTATCTGGCCAAGGGGCATGCGTAATGGCTGTGTAGGACAGCCCAGCTGACGATGTCGGCACGTCAGACGTTCCTGCACCAAGGCGACAAATGGTTCAGGTCGGCTGACGTCAGGAACACGGAATATTCAAGCAGATACAGGGTCCCTGGGGGATGATGTGAAAAAGAACGTGTATACCACTCATAGGAGCGTGAAGAACATTATCTGTTGATAATTATTATTAAACAATATCAAATGTAATTTTGTTCACTTTCCAATGTGTGCTTTTTTGTGTATTTTGGCATTTCTGATGCACAGGCAGTGTTTGCAGAAAAGCACTGTAGTTTGGTGAAGTCAGGTCACCTGCATGCTCACCATATTTGAAGCAGGTACATTTACATTGTTTGGAGTGAATATTTCCATCAATCGTTCACCCGTGTTTATTAACTTTAAAAGTTGCTATCATACAGATATCATATCACAGGGGAAGGGGGAATATTATGATTATTTAAAAAAAAATTCCCATTTTCCTCGGAATTGTACGATCTACAACGGGTACTCCCATAATAAGGCCTGGGGTGGAGGCCAATCCTTGATCTGCGGATCTGGTAAGTCTACAATTGCCCCTCAATGTTACTGTATATCCTTCAATATTTCCATAAACACAGAGAGACAACAATAGATAACATCCTGTTATACCAGTAATGAAAAGAAGGACTTCCGATCGAGTCACCTCGCTTTTTTAACCTCCTTGCCGAAACTCACGATTCCAGTTTATTTTCGGCATGTCAGATAAGATAGCTCAGCAGCTGTCGGTGAAGTGATAGGTATATATAGCCTAGCCGAGGAGTTTAATTATAAAGCCAGACAATCACATGCCACATATATATGGCACATATTAAATGTACTAGTACCTCTCTGAAGATGTGTGTGGGTGTGGCAAAACCGTCATGTCATGAAGGCCCTGTTCAAGGATATTTGATGTCGTGCAAGTTCGCAGTTTGCCCTTCTTATTAAAGATCACCGTTTACCTACATCTATTAAAGCCGCATTATGTACCATTAGGATGATACAGGTAAATTTTCTGGTTACTACGGTTTCGTCCTATTCCTAAGTAGTTTGTGGTGGTACCACGAACTGAGTGCGCCTCATGTGGGATGTTTTAGCGCCAGCCATTAATGTAGGATATATGAGATTATAGATATAAGATATATGAGAGAACTGCACAAGTATTAAGAGTGGAAGTAATTATAATTACAATCACAGAAAGATTTTTTTCCAATATTAAAATTTCATTTTTGGTGCAAAATGTTACATAATGTCCCTTTAACTGAAAAGTTTGCAACTGTCCTCATTTGTATATTTCGTATATGAATGCTCGAGTGGATCAACTAGTAGATGAATAAAGGAACGAATGAATATTTTAGCGGATCTCATGCCAATAACCAATTAATGATAAGAAGAAAGCGCTTCGACCGAAAGACCTACAAACGATGCCGACTCTTTAGCATCTACCTTTGGAATTTCTTGCAAGGATTCACAAGACAGTGTCTAGAGGCAAAATTTAACATAGATAATCCAAGGAGCTTTGATGAAAGCTCCTTGGATCATCTAAGAGTAAGACGATTCTAAGTACTATCGTTACCAGCAAAAAAAAAGAGAAAGAAAATTTGAACGCAATTTGAACACTTGAAAATAAATTCCTTTTTCAGCTGAGCTGCAATTACTTGGACTTCTATAGTTCTCCTTTCCTTTCCTGTTCAATGGGCGCTATCAAGGACTTGGCGTTATTAAAAGATATCAAGGCTTATTATATCATTCCGTGCATTGATGAATGTCTTTGCCTTTTGTATGTGACAAGTGTCTGTGTGGCGTCTCCCTGGAGCCGAGTCCCGGTCACGTGGCCGTGACGTCACGGTTGCCATCTTGATCCCAGCCTAACTCCGTCAGACTAGAGGCTAGAGACAGCAGCGCCAAGCATTTTCGGACAGGGGCTAGAGCTAGATCGGCTCACAAACAGTATTTCCTCGGGTCGCTGTCGAGGGGGATTCGCCGAGGAGAGACGTTACCGTCCGCGCTGCGGTTGTGCCAAATTACAGACGGGGTCGCCCGAGTACGGGCCCGCCACGGTTCGACTTTCCTTCCCTCTCGGGCCCAGCGCCGCTACAGTCCGACCGGAGTGTGGGCACCTTTCCCGGGGTAAGTTTACCTACCTTAAGGCGGTCCGTGTGGGTTTGCCGAGGAGACAGTTCAGGTGTTACATCTGTAACGCTGTGTTCATCCTGTGATCTGTGTTGTTGATATAACGTCACGGTTACTTTGGTAGAGTAGAGTAGGATCGGTAAGGGGGAGGGGGGCGATAGCTTAGGAGTAGGTGACCGCTTTGGAGCGTTACTTTTCTGGACGTCTTAAGGTTTATACCTTGTATCCTTGCGATTATTCAAGTTTGGTCGTCATGTAAAAATGTCGCTCCGAAATCTAAAGCAAATGATTTTACTTGTAAAAGATGTATAATAGTTTTACATAGTGACAACTGACAAGGGTTTAGTGCTAATTTGTTGTGAAATGTTATCCCGAATTATTTTAAGAAAGGTATTCGAGTTCTTCCCAAGGGGGGTAGGAGGATAGTCCTGTATGTGGAAGAACAAAATCAGGAATACTGTAAATCACTTTATGTTCAAGGTAGTAAAAGTTCACCGATTGAGAAAAATTGAGGTGTTCACGGGAATATTTGTTTGCGGGGGCGGCAGGTGCAGAAAAACAAAGAAAGTCGGCGAATAATTTGTTAACAGTAAATTATGATAAGTTTGCTGTACAGAAGTGACCGCGAAAACTGCGAATATAAAAGTGCTGCAAAAAAAAAAAAAAATGATTTACAGTATGTGCATCATTTGCAGACACACACGGCCAAAACAAATACAAAGGAAGGAAATAAGATCACGTTTAACAATACTTTCTTTTGTAGCCACAACACTTCCAGGATCAAAGGAAGGGGAAATAGATATGATGTGTCAGCAGGTGACATGGGGGTTTCCACTGCTGACAGGGTTTCCTACTTCCTTGAAATAATAAAAATTTGCAATGCTTCATCTTAATATTCTGACACCATAACTGGCATAAGACACATGATGATACTCATGTGTAGACTTAAAGACACTCATACACACATGTGTAGACTCGAAGACACAAGTAGATTTAGAGACACATGTGTAGATTTAAACTAAAGACTCATGTGTTAGACTTTGAGACACATATATGTAGACTTAGAGACACACATGTTCTAGAAGACTTTATAAGTTTATAGGACACAAGTGTAGACCTTGAGACACGTTAACACATGACATGTAGACTTAAAGACAACTACACACGTGTAGACTTCAGACACAAAAATATTTTTCACCTCCTTTTAATTTTATTGTGATATCTTCAATATAACAAATGACTGAGTATCTAACATTAGTGGGTGTGTCAATCAGTTTACTTTTATTTGCTTAGTTACTAAGATGTTACCAATTGCTACTCTCTCTACTGTACAATATTTGCTATTGTTGTTGTCCATAATGTCTATCATTATATGCTAGACGTGGTCTCTTGGTGCTTTGTAGTTATAAATCCCATATTTCCATATATGATACATAATAGACTCAAGCAGTATTTTCTGCATGCTTTTTCTTCATTTTTTACATCGTTCTATCTTTTAGGTTTTTTAGGAGGCAAAGAGAAAGACATACCAATGTTTGAAATACTGAGCCAGTCTCTATATCTGCTTGAACTTGGAAGATTAATAGCCCTTCCCCACATGTAATCCATACAGCTCAGCTATGCTCCCTTGGCTGGGTTTGCACTGGGGCCTAGCAGAAAAAAGTTGTGTTTTCTGTTTCCCGGCCAACCCTAGAACAAACCGCCGATCCTAGCTTTTTTTGTGTGGACCCCTGCAAGGGACATAAATTTTTCGAACTGATTGACCTTTTCTAGCTCTGTGATCTGACACTTGAGTGATGAAACACTGTGCAATTGGTTTTCCAACATTGACATTAAAAATATAAGTGTCCTCATGCAAGTATTATTTTGTTAAACTGTATTGTCTAAGTTGGATCCGAGAGCCAACGTTAAAAAAAAAAAGAAGAAAAAAATCCTACCTACTGACCCAATTTTTTCAGGATGAAACAGGAAACACAACATTTTTTTTCTCTAGGCCTGGGCTTGTTCCAGACCATGATATATTTGGACATCAGCTGGAACTAGGTTAAGAAAATTAGATGAAAGGCATCATTTGCTGTGGTCTAGATAAATCGCCCTCCTGGGTTCAGTATTTTGTCACCTTTTCACAAACTCAGGTTATCTTAATGAGAATCAATTTGTTTGGGCAAGAAAAGTAATTTGGTTGGCTTCAATTTTACCTGGCAATTCGCGTGCTCGTTTGAATTGTAATTTGTGGTGAATGTATACACAGTTGCATGGCAATACCACAACTCACTTGAAGTTGTAGCTAAATACTAGTACCTAACAATATTTTTCTGCCCAAAAACACTTCAAAATTGCTCAAAATTTGAACACACATTTATGAAAAGCATAATTTGTCAGCCTTTGTGCTCTTTCATATATGACGCACCTTTGATCCGCATAGCATTCATTATCCTGCGTGCATGTGGTGAAAATGTATGATAAGAAGGATAATGATACCGTTAGGTGGTTTTCTTTTATCCACGGCTTTGATCCGTCGCTGCATCTTTCTTTGCCCGGTGCCGATGTGGGCTGGGAGATAATAAGAACAGATAACGACGACTCACGCTGTGAATGTCTGACCCCTACTTTACCAAAGTTCAAAATAAATTAGGGTATTTCCAAAACTTGGGACAAGTATTTGTTTGTATCCCCTATTCGTCAGTAGAATAAGTAGTAGCACTTTTTCAACAGGGCTCGAAACACCTTTTTTCTGCATACCTGCACTGTAACTTTGAAAGTTACCTGCACCAGACAAATTTTACCTGTGCTACTACGAAGTTAAGAAGTGTGGATCATACTAAAAATTCTTCAGAAACCATTGCCATTATATCTTTTATTCTGATACTTCATATTATGATAGCTTGTACTATAGTCAATGCAGCGAATAAAAACCCACATACATACATATGTCTACATTTGTATACTAGTACATGTATAAAGTTAAAACCTAGTACATTGCACATGGAAAAGCGCAGGTTAGGTGCTGGTAAACATCAGAAATACCTGCATAGCTCCAATTTTACCTGCACTAAGGTTCATATGCACTCAATATTTCAAGCCCAGAGTAAGGTGATTTACATATATAGCTCCGATGCTGTTTTCAACCAGTCCTTTTCTTGGCCCTGCATGTATGTAAGTGATTCAGAAAAACAAAAACAATGTGGTACTTCTAGATTGGCCCTTGATGAAGTTTCAGCGCAGTACTCTAGTGTCAAGGACTGGTGTTGTTGCCTGGATACCAGAACTACTGGGCAGGAACAGAATGAGTGAGTGATTAAAGGTCCAAGAGGTCGTATTATACACAGTGAATTAGTCTACAAGAATAGAGCGCTTTTAGCACTTGCGTTTTTGTTGTTCTGAACATAAAGCGGAAAGCGGATGAATCGTGCGCAAAGTCTTCAATTAAATTGCGATTTCATCTGGTATAGTTGTATTGTAAAGGGATGAAAAGAACAATATTGACAGTGGTTGTTGCTAGGCTGTTACAGATTTTGTTTAGTGTTGGCAGAACTGATTTCAGGACGTTCCCCACCTCACTCACCTAGTTTCCAAAATCCCACAATACAAATTACAATGTAGCTCTAGCATAACTGAAAAACTGAGAACCATTAAATGTAAAGTTAAAACTTGGACTGATGGTCATATGTGTGTCACCAACTACAGTTGGGGCATCATCACTAGATAACAATGTTTAAACAATGTTCAAAGGCTAGGTGTGACAAGTCCTTCGGTGTAATGTAGCCAGCTGCCGCCGTGCCTTGTGTATGCAACGCTAGTGTGTTATGCCAAGGGGCTGCTAACGTTATACTGGCTATATTATATACAATTACAGATACTTTTTCTCCTGTACATGTACATGTACATGATATGACACAACATGATATTATAAGACTGTATGGTATCCAGTCAACATAGACAGTTTTGTGGCAGTCCAGACAATGAGAATGATTATGAGATACAGAAGTTTCTTTCACAGAGGATCAGTTCTTTATGCAGATTACTTGTTATTGTGTTTACAAAGGCCTCTTGTATCACAACATGGAAACACGACACCCCAAACACATTCATACTGGATAGCAATCATCCACCTATTAATCATGCATGATTGAAAACTTTTTATGTGCTTTTATTCTCTTGACCTGTTTTGTGTCTGTTATGACAACCTGGTCATTTTGTAGAAATGAGCTGTTATGAGATACTCAAATTGCCAAATTAAATGTTCTCACTTGTATAACTTCCACCAGCTATATTAAGATATATATAGGCAAATGTGTATTTTAGGAACATTTTGATTCTGGTCGAGTTTACATTATTATTGATGATAAGAAGATCACTCAGATTATTAATAGTGCCAAGGCAATATTGATTTGATTTATATGGATGAGTGAGTGAGTGTTCCACTGTAAACGACAAATAATATACATTTGTAATCTGCATTTTGTATTTGCTAATTTGAACTTAGTCTACCATACTCCCAGAACCTTTGATGTTTTCTACTATGCCATTTATGGATTAAATAAGCTTTGTTCTTCTATATGGTTGTTACATGGTTGTTATGGATAATATACCAAACACTACGTTACATAAATACAGCAGACCTATTACATAAATAGAGGCGATCCTACTTTGCTGTACGATCAAACATGGAAAGTGACTGGTGCTGATATAGCCAGAAAAATACATAGTTTTCCATCTATTTAAAACAATATGGCATAAGAATTACGTACGATATTGCACCTTTGCGATTGGTCTGTGAAGATCTAGGTAAACATTACAATTGCTGATGATAGTGTACAATAATCTCCAAGCAGATCATATGGTGGCAAGCTGTCCATTGGATTTGGAGTGGCCGTACAAACTTTTCTGGCTAATGATAATGCCAAGTAATGGATACTGTCTTGCCACCGAAAAGGCATCTGCTTGAACATAAATAGTATACAATACATTTGGAGATGTTTCCAGGATCACTTGGT